GACCTAGGGCTATACAAGAATAAATTGTATTGTATTGTATTGTATTGTAGCATGTGAGATCTGCCCAGATCCGAGTTTAACAACCTGCGGCTGTTGATAAATGCCGCGACTGAAAACTTAACGTATTTATGAATGTCGCGCCTATGAATATTCAGAAACCGCCTGTTTCACATCCCGTTTTTGCGACAATTAAAAGGAAGACTGGCAAGAAAAAAAAATCTTGGAGAAGGAGATTGTACGGCAGAGCGTGAGGGTCACCGGATTTTTTTTTGAAAGACGCTATAAGATTTAAGTCAGAATATTATGAGAATAAAATCAAAATAGTTTTATTTTAGAGAGGGTTAGAGGGTTAGGGTTAGGGTTAGAGGGTTAGGGTTAGAGGGGTTCGGGTTAGAGGGTCAGAGGGTTAGAGGGGTTCGGGTTAGGGTTAGGTTAGATTAATGTGTAAATTGTATTGTAATTCTGTTAAATGTCTTTTATCTTCTGTAGTGTAAAAGCCCCCTGTGGACTAGTGTTGAAAATTAGCACCTGGGCTATAACACTCACAGCAATGCATCTGGTTCGTCCAATGTTATTGTTATGTCCATATTAAATAAATAAATAAATAATAAATAAAAATAATCTCAAAATAATATGACATTTTTAGATATGAGATATGAGGGCCATTAGTCCTAAATCAAGTGGATTAGCAAAGTCTCCAGATGACTTGGTTAATTTGAATAAAATATGAATTTAACAGAATATTAGAGCATGTGTCCAAAGTTTGCACTAGTGTACATATCAGCAATTTTTGGCTTTATCTTTTGAAATTACTGCAAACGTATTGTCTTTAATAATTGAACAAGAGAAGTTCCTTATTGTCCTTGTTACTTTAAAATCAACTGTTTGCAGTGTTTGTTAATCCTTGCAACAGGATGAATGTCTGAGGATTTAGTTTTAAGTGCTAAATATCATGTGTCACTTTGATTATGTGGTAATCATGAGATTAATCTCAAAATAATATGAGATTAATCTAGAAATATTTTGAGCGAGCTATGGTGAGGACCCGGGAGATAACTGCGGTGCGGACTCTGGAAGAGACCTGCAGAGCGGCTCCCGGGGAGAGACCTGCGGACCCCGGGGAGAGACCTGCGGACCCCGGGAGAGACCAGAGAACCCCAGACCTGCATACCACGGGAACTGCAGCATGGACCCGGTGAAAGCAGGTCCAGCCTCCTGGAACACCCATAGAATTTTCAGTTTTTGTCAGTTTTGATTAAGAACATATACTATACATATTCTTGTGCATTTGCTCCATCGTGTGAGACCATCATGAATGAGGCCAAAAAAAAGATAAAGTCATACTATTTGGAGAGTGGGAATGTGTTTATTGTTGTCCAAATCTTGAATTTCATGCGTTTTTTGCGTGTTGTGTTGAGATGTGTTTAATAGCTCGGTGTACATTTTGTGCGTACCATACACCCACTTCCAGGTTAATCAATGCCGAAAAGTGTAATTTCTTTTCCGTACGACTTATTTACAACCTGATTTTATACGCAAGTTTCATAAATGAGGGCCATTAGTCCTAAGTCAAGTGGATGAGCAAAGTCCCCAGATGACTTGGTTCATTTGAATAAAATATTAATTTAACAGAATATTAGAACAAGTGTCCAAAGTTTACACTAGTATATATCAGCAATTGTAGGCTTTATCTTTTGAAATAACATTCTGAAGGTTTTATGGTTTTACAGCAAACGTATTGTCTTTAATATTTGAACAAGAGAAGTTCCTTATTGTCCTTGTTACTTTAAAATCAACTGTTTGCAGTGTTTGTTAATCCTTGCAACAGGATGGTTGCACTCTATAGGCTCTGAAGATTTAGATTGAAGTTTAAAGTGCTAAATGTCATGTGTGTTTGATTACGCGGTTCAGGAAAAAAGTCATCTTTATTTATATATCACATTTCACAGACCAAGGTCTCACAAAGCGCCCTACAATTTTGGTGGAGTTTTCATTATTCCCAACAATCTAATAGCTGAAGTGACCATCAACATCCGTTCACACACAAATTCGTTTTTTTTGTTGTTGTTTGTGGTAGGGGAAACCGGAGCACGTGGAGGAAAACTACATAGTCACTGGTAGAACATGCAAACTCCACACAGAAAGGCCTCTTTTGTAGTTCACTGTAAAAAAGAAAAAGTTAGTTCAACGCAAAATTTCAAAGCAACCAGCTGCGTAGGCTTTTTAAGTTGAAGGCATTAACTTGATTCTTCACGTTTTGAAGAACTACAATTATTAAGTTGTGTCAGCTAAGTTTTCCAAGATCTGCCAACTAAGTTTTTAAATTCAAGTTACTGGAAATTTCAAGTCTGTAAAATCTTACTTTTTTAAGTTCAGATTACTGTCCCCTACAATAACTTACTATTTTGAGTTTAAATTAGCCCCCACATTAAACCATCATGATGTTTATTTATATAGTGCATTTTACAGACCGAGGTCACTTGGGCAGGGGAAACCGGAGCACCCGGAGAATGCGGGTGCTGTTCTGACCAGGATCCAAACCCAGCACTTTTGTGTCAAGAAGCGAGAGTGCTATCCACTCAGCCACCGTGCCATTAGATTAGTGGGAAAACTAATGTTTCTAAGACTGACCCAGTGAATATATAGGGCTACTTTGGCTTGGCCCTGTCAATTACGGTTGGTAAAAATAAATGCAATGATTTTTTTTGTCAAATTAGTTTTTTCAAAATGTTGAATGCAGCTGGTTGCCATGACAAATATTTAAATGAGCAAACGCAGATAAGTTGACCTCACTCTAGCTCGGTGAACTGTAAAAACGACAACTCAAAGTTGTTCACCTTACTCAGATTTTTGCATTCACTGGCAATAAAATTGCCAGTTGGAACTGGAACTGTCTGTTGTGAGCCACTTGAACTCACTTTCAGAAGTTCACTACAACTTCAAAGTAAAATCAACTTAATATATCAAATAAGATGAACTTTTCATCAGAAACTTCTGAAAGTGAGTTCAAGTGGCTCACAACAGACAGTTGTAGTTCGAACTGGCAATTTTATTATCAGTGAATGCAAAAATCTTAGTAAGGTGAACCATTTTGAGTTGTATTTTTTACAGTGTTGGAATAAAACCTTGGACCCTCTTGTTGTGAAATCACCATGCCGCCAAGCAGGAGAACAACTTCTTGAAATGTTCTCACTGTGGGACGAATAAAGTTTCGCTTTTCTTACTCACTGACAAAAGTTTTTTCATGGTATAGTCCTTCCTGTTACTATACCACACCAGAAAACTTGATATTCATTCTAATCTCAACATATGTCCAATATACAAATACACAGCTCAAATTGTTTTGTAGACGCTCCTTTCCTCAATTGTAAAAGTGGAATGGAAAAATTCTTGCTTTTCTAAAATTGAATAGTTTGCAGCTACTACAGTATAATGAAAGGCTAACACATGAATCGGCAATAGGGGTTAGGCCCAGATAAGCTGCTCCAGCTTATCTGCCAACTCCTTTTAGGGCTATTTTCTTTTCTTTTATATTATTATTCATTTTTATGTCTTCTAAATGCCCGAAATAAACACTTGAACTGAACTGAACTGAATTGTTGCATTTCTGTTCTACCACAATGGACCACACAACAGCTGAATGAAATAAATGATGTTTATTGTTGCACAAAATGTACAAAATAACAAGCAAATGGACATCTCCTCCCCAGGGCCCTAACTCCCTTTGGTTCATTCATAACTATGAAAGTATGGCCAGTCGGATGGTCCACTCCAAACACTCGGTGGATTCTGAGAGACGACACGTACCCAATTTCAGCATCACTGGACATTTAAAAATAATAAAAACACCTTATTTACACCTTTCTGTCAGGACTTTTAGAACATGCCATCTATAGGTTTTTACAGACTTGCTTGAGCACATACCCCTGTGTAGAAAATATATGAATAAATAAATTAGACAAAGGGCTATAGACATCCAGTGATTCTATTATTGTATGTCACTCCTGTTTTTTCCTCTTCGAAGACGTTTTCCCGTTTGCTTTGGACACTTAATAAAAAGTCCATAACGTGAAGCGACCCCTCTCTGCAATCTGCATTGACCTATCAGCTTTGGCACGACGTGATCAAGTAAGTGTGCTATAGGTTTCAAAACACATCCATTTGTGCCGCTAGAATGGCAATATTTGTTGTTCATTCTTTGTACATTGACTCGCTGTAATGTGAAGTCTAAAACAGACATTGAGCAATCTAAAGACAAGTTCATGTTCAGGTAAAGCCAGCCAGACTACTTCCCAATAGGATGCTGATACGATGTTTGACAATGGTTGTATGTCATGGGTGGACAGGGGTGCGGTATGTGGCGCTGTATAAGCATGTTTTTCCCTTCAGCTTGTGCCCTGCAAAAAACCCCTGCATGGAAAGTGGCAAAGAAATGAAATCAGGTGGAAGCAAATCTCCGGAGTGTATCCATCACATTGCTTCACTGTTCACCTGGTAGTACATGTGTGCAGCCTTCACAACACGACATATTCTACTTACATAAAGGATCAGCCCCTTCAGAAGTGCGCGGGACAAGGCAAAACCAGGAGTGTTCATTTACAATCCAATTTCGGATAAAACAGATGGCGATGTTTTCAAAGTGTGTGCAAAAATATTTCAACTACCGCTGGATTGACAACTCTTTTCAACACATTATTCCAACCTTACATTTTGCAATATAGCTTCCTCTTAAGTCCTATCATGTTTTTAGTCATTTCAATAAATATCTATACTTTATTTTCTGACACTTTTCTCTTATCTTACTTTACAAAATGAGAAACAGGATGATGGACAGCCAACAATATATATAATTTGTTTAATCTTCTCACTACCATCAGTTTTCTATATCCTGGGGATAATTTAACTTCTTTGTAAACAGATTTTTCAGCCACTTGTAACAGCGTCCTCCTCTCTCTCTCCAAGTGCTTCATTCCTCTCATCCTCTTGTTCTTCCTTCTTCCTCATTGCAGAAGGGCCCTGATTTGTTTTGAGGTGCTGTCATCATTTAGATGTCGTGTCGTATACCTACAAAACAAAACATGTTCAAACGTTTGCAGCATTTGATTTCAATATGCCTCTGTAGTCCTTCCTTACCTCAGGGCGTTGAGAAGGCCCTCTACACTATTCGATGGTTGCTCTTTCAGAACTTTGATACAGCCCTTCATCTGCAAAAACACATCACAAATTAAATAAATGTATATGCATTGAATATGTTTTATCTACTCAATTCAATTCAGGGTTTTTTATATAGCCTTAAAGCAGTCATCTTGAAGAACTACGATCTGTTGTGGGTCAATTGACAACTTTGTAGAGACTAAAACAATCAAACACAGGAAATGCAATAATAACAATAATAAATGTCCTTAAAATGTCCGGATCATCACTGTCCTTAGTGTCTAGGGAGGCAGGAGGGTCTAAACAAGTCACAGGGATTCTTTGTGTTTAAGGCAGCATTGAGGTCCATGATGTCCAGACCTCAGTATTTCTTATAGGTTCAACTGATATGTTATGCTCAAATGTAAAAGTCGATTCATTTTTTTAGACATAGATATATTGTAAATTGAAAACACTGATTACACAAAATTGCATGTATTTCAATTCAAATTGTATTTAAGGGGACACCAAGACACTGAATATTCAAGGAGTCTCTAAGCTAAAGTTCTTATGCATTGCATTAGATCAAATCAGATGAGACTAGACCATTTCTGGATATATTAGATTATTACAGAGAGAGAGAGCGAGATAGAGAGAGAGAGAGAGAGAGAGAGAGAGAGATGATTGGAGGTCAACTTTTGTATTGGTTTTTTAATTAAGATAATAATAATAATAGTTTATGAAGAGTTTTAAGTCTTGAAGCTACTCACATCGATTTTGGAGGTCTTTGCAAAAGCCCCGACTGGATGAACATGGTCATAGAGAATAATGACGCCCACCATCACCCTCATACAGAACAGCATGGTGTCTGTGTTGGTGAACCGGCAACGATATTCCCTACAGATTATACATAATTATCAGATTAGATTCATTTTTATATCAAGTTTACACACATTAGATTAACATAAATACAATACATGTACAAGGTTTGAAAAATAGGTGGGTGAAGCAAACACTATAAACCTGAACCCCTCTCTTATTTAACACAATACAAAATTGTACCATTACAAATATCACAGAAGTCAGCGCGTTTATATTTCTGCACTTCTTCAAAACTCATAATCTAATCAATGGGATCATAAAACTTGTGACTGAAAGGAAAATGGTGGTCTTCCTTTGTGTGAGTTGCGTGAAGAATGAAGAACTCACGGTGTTTCGAGCATAACACGGCAAACACAAGCCATGGTGCTCAGGCAATCCGTGGTGTCCTCTATCGGCAGCGTCTTATTCTGAAAAGTACAAGAAGAAAATGATTACAAAACATTTCCACAAGAGGGCGACAAAGCACATCAGAAAAGAAACGCAAGACTTCATCCACAATCAGCAATTGTACCTCCTTGCTTGACTTTTCTTGTGCTTTAAAATGTATCTTTGACAAAAAAGTAACTCTTTGTACTCTCAAGTGATATACAACATGTTTGATTCAACATGAGAGATTCATGCCACAAAGGTCAACATAATTGAGAAGGAAGGGGCAGCAAGGATAAAGTATGTATTTTTGCTGAATTTAGGAGCAGCCTAATTCTGTGTTCATGGGTGCAAAATTCTTTCAAAATATCTCCTACTTTATCATTCCTTGTCCTTAAAATTTTTTTAAGACCTTTGTTTAATATTTAATGCCAAACTGAATGTTATCCAGGTCAATAAAAATGAGAAGGAAGGTCAAAGAAGGGTAAGGAAGGCTGCAGACTACACTGAGAGGAACACAGCATCCACAGCATTCAGAACACTGTACTGTATCTACATTATTAACATTTAAAATATCTATATCATTGTAATTTATCCCTATATTGAATCATAATGCTGTAGTTGAAACCAACCTCTGACACAAACTTGGTTGTCGCATTACTCAAAGTCTTGAGCATGGGCGTGGCTTCAGCATAAAAAAGAGACATCCGATTGGCCATCTCATTATTTACTTCATTCTCTGCCTCAAGCTGAAATAAAATAAAAATATATATTCAGTATGCTTACAATCAATATACAGCCAATTCTGTTTACTACTCACCTGCTGGTTGTTCAACCTGTTTCGGCTTATGGTCCTCCTGTAGTAGCTGAAGTCATTCTGGATGGCTGGGTTTGTCATCTAGGAACATAGTTGTTATTGTTTACATTGAAAACCATACGGGTCTGTGATAGAAACAATGTTCTCACTTTTAATTCGTCAAAACTGAGTGTGAAGTGAAGGATCTCTGCAAACTGCTTGGCTAGAGCCTGCTCTCGCTCCAGGTGCTGCATCGGAGCATAGGGCGGACTGGTTAGGGCTTCCAGCAGGCTGCGCAAGGCATTCTCTGATAACACAAAATCAAAATGTGAGCTCATATAAAATGCTAATTCATTCATTTATTCCTCCACAGGTGCTGGGATAAGCTATTTCTATATTTCAGCCGGCCGGTCCTACCCAATAAGCAGAGTAAGCAGCTGATTAGAGCCCCACTAGCCAACATTAGAAATTAAAACAATGTTATTTTTAGTGTGCAATATTTTTGGTCTTATTTAACCAAAAAGTCCCATGGAGATTCATACTATTATAATAAAGAAACAATCTCTAAAGATAAAACTTACTCAGGTCAAAGTCACCACAATTTGTAATCATTTTTTGTTTGTTTATTATTTTCTTCAATGATTAGTCAACAAAAAAATAGACTGTTTTGTACTTTGTTATATATGCGATGTAGCAAATATGTTAGGCATTAAATCTAAAATTATTTTCTTAACTCATTTTCATTAACATATTTCATGAAACTACCAAGCTTAATTTAAGGGTTTTTTTGAGAGCCATATAAGACTTTTTTATTTTGGACTTCTTGTTTGACCTCGTCATTTAGACACTAAAAGATCTAATAATTTGAAAACATTGTTCCACTTGGGCATGGCTTTCTTTAGGCCCCTTGTGGACTAGATCCAGCACTGCTATCTACAAACAAGAACAATGTCTCAAACTATATCTATAATTGATCCATTTTACTAGATTGTAAAGTCCATGAATTACATCCCATTTGACCATTTGACCTGGACCTGTATGTGTCTAGTCTTCTGGACAAAACATTGTTGTAGCAATGCCATAGAAGCGAGGCCCCCTGAGGCTCCATTCCTTCCTCTGCATTAAAATTGCAGTAGGGCTTCTATAAATACTGTGCTCAGCTGTTTCATCTAAAGGCCTTGGGTAGAAACCCCACAGTTTTTCCTGCTGTTTGCTAAGCTGTGGCTAACACAAGACTGAGCTAGTTATACCTGTTAGGACAATTAAAGATACAGCAAGATACAGATAATTGGCATCCATCACAAAACAAATGGCAATATGGAAATTGGCAAGTGAGATAATAATGGGTGTGAAAGCTGTGATTATCTCGTCGCCTCGTGAATGTCATTGTGGGAAACCGTGCTAGAAACTCCACGACTATTGGATTATGCTTTTACTTGGTCATTAAATATTTGTTAGTCTTTATGTATGCAGAACATGTTGAGAGGCATTGTTATTATAGCAGCGCAGAGGCGTCAGCTCTCTTCCATAACATCTCTCCTTTTTGTGCTGGACATTCATGTACCACTGTTTCCTTAGCAACGGCTGCCTGGCTACCCGTTTCAGATGCTGCAGAGATGGCCGAGAAAATAGCATGTGGGGAACAGACGAGTTATAAAGGCTGCAGTATCTCCACAACCGCTTCACCATTTCAAGGACTTGCTTGATTATGTGTGTGACTCTACTTTCTGTCTATAGAAAACTAAAATGTGAAACAATAAAAATGGCACCTCATTACATGGAAAGAAAAAACAGCATTTGTTGACAATGTTGCTCAACTAATTAGAAGCTCACATAATTAATTAATTATTTTGGTACTCACCCAGCCTGAGTGAGAACTCATAAAAGCGTTTAAGTTTGGCCACCAGGGGACAGACTGCATTCCAAGCCTTCTCTTGAAGAGCTAAATCACTTGGATTCTGTATTGCCTGGAAAATAAACTCATGTTAATGTTTAATGCATTTACATAATTCATTCTCAATTGCATTACTGACAGACTGAACAGTGTGTACTCGAATATAGTTATTTGAGAGCTTTAATATTAATCCCTATAGCAAGCCTTGCATTGTAATACATCCAATTTATGAAACCAAATATACATAAAATGTTCTTAACTGTCCTGGTGTTGTTGTTTAGCCTGAATATTTATTAAAATCAAACTGAGACATTCAAAGCAAAGCAATAACATATATACAGTATCACAAGAAGCATGTATTAGACCACTTCACAAAAAGCAGGTCACCACCAGGACAGTGGGGAATGGTCGTTTAAGGGCTCCACTACTACAACAAAAGATGAACTGGTTTTGGAACACTAAATCTCATGCTTTTTACTTCTCTACGGTGGAACTGGACACAAAATAGTCAAAAATCATTTCAGAATGGATAGTAAATTATAACAACCATGTTGTTGATTGGTTTAAGAGTGTCATGCAGCTAATTGATCACTCGTCATTCAAAAACATCATACTCATAATCATGTTTTCCTTCTGTGTTTGTGCATTTTTCTCACTTCTCGTATCTCCTGTCCTGCTCCGTTATAAGACTGCAGCTCGGCCAGGATCCCATGAGCCTCCTCCAGCGCGGCGCTGACCTGGTTGTACACGGCTGTCTCCGCCTCTGTGGGCTGTGCATCTGAGCCGGAGACGGCAAACCGAAAGAGGAAGAGAAGAAAGAAGAGAGAATGGGAAGCGAAACAGCAAGGTGCGGGAATGGAGAAGAGAGGGGGTGTTTGGGGAAGTAAATCAAAATAAGAAAAATTAGTCAACTGGACAGTAATCAGAAATGCATTGGCATATCAGAGATAAACCAGTTCATGTTGTTGTGTTAGTCAGGTCACAGAGCTGCCATCACATCATAAGGAAGTGACTATTGTGACCTCTATACATAATAATAGCCACAGAGCAATGCTTCCTTGCATGGCGTGACATGCAATAGAAAAATGGTACAGAAATGTATTCACTCCATATGTATTCAGGATTGCACAATGTCTAAAAGATAAAAAAATAATTGTTTTATTGTATTAAATAACAGTATTAGGATGCTTTCTTCTAGGAAGGGTGATTCACAAAATTAATCCTTTTTGTTGTCAATATGCAGTTTCATTTAATGGGGGTAAATCCAGTAATTAATACTATGCAATTCTACAGAACATTTCAACAAATCTACCATCGTATTAGACACTATACCTAATTTAAACCTATATTTTTTGGAGACATAGACTATAAAACGGCTTAACCATAGCCATAACAATAATCAATAGCCTACACTGGCCACGTGACATGTAAAGTTGGCCCAAACTTTGCTTTGTGCTACAGAGGTGACTGTGGGGGAGAGCTCGCAGATGGTACAGGGGTGTGTGGGGGAGACGAGGTGAGGAGGCTGCCCCTGACTCATCACACAGGCTTTGATACGAAACAAAGGGGAATATTAAACAGTGTACAAGCTATAAACAGTATGTAAAGTGGAGTCAGGAATAGAAAGGACAAGGACTAGGCTATAGAGTGGAAATATACAGGGTGTAAACATTTGGAATTATGATGCTGTGCCCACTACCAATTGGTTACTTACCAATGCCATATTGCATCACTTGTTACCAACAATAATTTGATTGATTAAATGTCAAATCTAGAGGTATGGAAAGGCTGGTGGTTGGTGTTTATAGTTTTAAAGTTGGAGTACCAGACCACAACTTTTGTTTTGGTTGTTTTTGTTTAAAACATTTTACATACTGAGAGCTGAGAACTCTCTTTTTCTAAAGAGGTGACAGAGGACAACACTACATGCATGTGAAAGCTAATGATAGAACCAAACCGATTTGAGAGGGAGGGACTAGTTACATGAAATCTAATCCATAGTTAGTTTGTGTGGTTTCAAAGTTAGGTACTCCAGCTTTAAATATAAATTAATGTAAGTAATGTCCTGAGCTACGTAACCTTTCAAATCGTTTTTTGAGATGCTACAGTTTTGTCTATTTCATATTGGAGGATTGAAAGAAAGCACAGCCAAAGCATATTTTAGGAGACAACCACATAAGTTCATGAGAGGCGTACCATTTCTTATTTTTCACTCCACAAAGTCTTGAGCAGACACAATGGATGACATTTAATGGGATGACATGAGCCCAGCGAGTTATAAATTATCCTCCCTGATCTGCACTACCCTCAAAGGACTGGCATCTGTCATTTCTTTTTTTCTTTGAGATGGAGACCCAAACAATGGCACTGCTGTAATGCTATTATGTATTTGTTTGCCCAGAAATAATAACAATCCAAATGTCCTTGAAATGCCAGTCCTATGGGCAGGAATCAAAGAGGAGACTTAAAACGAGCAATGGGGGCAACAACATAATGGCCAGCAAGAAAGGGGAAGTAAAGCAAAAGGCAAATGAGAAATAAGGAGAAAAAAACATAAGAAGCGGATGGTCTCACGTTCAAAGTCAAGGAAAACTATTGGGCCATGCTCAAGTTCGGTGCAAGTCAGTACTTTCAGGAGGTTTCCCATGAGCCCCCTGGAAAACAAAGAGGGACAAGTATGTAATATGTGCAAGCGATGAGGGGTGGTGCTGGACGTGCGTGTGGAGAGGGTGTGGCCGAGGACTGGATGTGGACCAATGCAAAGGAGGTGCGGATGGATGGTGTTGTGGAGAAGCGTGGCAGCCTGGGCTCAGAACCACTGAATTCCTCTTTAAAATTAAGATGTTTTGATTGTAATTGTCATTTCAAAATTGGTAATTATTCTTTTTGGAATTTTAGCTTCATTTAGTGAGATCTAATAGAAGCCAATGAAATGTAAAAATCACTTAAAATCACAGCAAGCTCTTATGAATCAAGGTAATGTCTAAACATGAATTCTTTTTACTGTTTTTATTTACATTTCAAATTAAATGTCAATAGTTTTTTTATATCACAATGATTATTCATAGAGGCTCTTTTTGTACAATTCTCAGGGCAAAATGTTATTCTGTTTAGAATCTAATCTTGCTCTGAAATTAGTTTCTAGTTAGGATACTAGTTTTAATAGTGATTAATAGCGGATGTTTGATACTTTTGACAACTCTAATTCTGCACAAAAGTCTGTTTCTACAATAAATGCATTTGTACATTGCCTTCCTCAGATACAACTGGTAAACTGTAGAAATATGTAATTAAAACTTCTCCTAAATGGACAAACGAGAGATTACACACACTCTTTATCATTGTGTTTAATTATTCTGCAGATGGATGGAATACAAGTAGTTAAGTAGTTTAGGACTACAGTGGTTCTCATTTGGGCAAACCACGCCCACAAACACTCCTGTCCTCCTTTTATGCCACATACCAGTAGAGCTCCCCTAGCCTCACACTGAACACTGCCCACACATGGACACTCACATGGCAGGCACATTCATACGGCAGCGAGCATGCAGCCCACGTCCACTTACTTTCAAAGTCCAGGAAAAAATGTGGACAGTTCTCTAAATCCTTGCCTAGGACCTTAATGAGGTTCCCCATGGCTGGCGACCTGGACAGGAAGGAGAACAACAAGATGCATACAGGGAAGCACCTGGTGGTTCACACAGAACAGACCTGAAGTCTTGTTTTACCCATATGTCCTTGTCTAACTGTGAGGAATGGGACCAGAGAAAGAGGACTATTATAGTTATTGTTCTCTCATGTGTTAAAGCCTGGGGTGCACTTTAAATAAAACATAGTGTTTGTCCTAACAAAGAGAGTCCTGCAAAAGTAAAATGTGGTGAACAAATCACACAACATGCTAGTTTTTGCACACATTTAGCTGCATATGTTGAATCTAATCAGACAACTGGGCCAGTCATAAAAGTAATTGATGGAGTTTCTGTTCCTGTACTGCTCTGTGTCATAGGTGAGACCAGCACACTGTGCTCCAGTCAGTCAATTTCCTCAGTGAGTGATTCACAGCCGACTTTAGCATGTTCACAACATGCCCTCAGTCTGCATAGGAAGTCAGACCCTATTACTGTTACTCAGCAACAATAGGTGTTGCAATGCAGCACAAAAAAAGGTGGGAACATTAGATGGACACTGTGATGCTGTTGGCCTGCCTGCCATGTTTTATATCTAAAATTGACCTTTTAGTCTTACATTGTAAAGGATAGGAGTAACAAAAAAGAAAATATAAAACGTGTTAAAGTTAATACAAAAATTTAACTGAAAATAAAATTTGAGGAGCTGTTATCAAGGACAGCATACATCCTACATTCTACATCCAAGAAAAGAATACATGTAAAAAAATTATTTGTTTTTTTTGTGAGAATTGGTCCAGGATCGTTCAAGAATATTTTATTTCACTGAATTTGGATTTACATTTACAAGAGTTTTATGGTTATTTTTAATAATTTGCTCACAAAAAAGTTAAATCCAGTTCTTCCATCCCTAGTACATTGGTGTAGTTTTGGTATTACACATACACATTTGTTCCATAATGTTTGTCCCAACAGAAAGAATAACATTTTGTGAACAAAGAGGACCTCAACATACTGAGATCTGAGTGAGGGCTGGAAATCTACTTTTCAGTATATACTGACCTATAGATGTGACTGAGGCCTTATAAGTGCATGCATGTCAAAACTAATCATATAAACACCGTTTTGAAAGCTAGGCACAAGTTACATTGTTTGTGGTTTAATATAGGTACTCCAGCTCCCTTGTTCCTCACTGTCACCAGCAGAGGGTGGCCATTGGGAATCAAAAATTCAGTTCATACAACGTCATCCACATTCTCATGCCAAAGTACATAAAGAATGAAACATAACGCCAAATGGTTAGCAAAATTCTACCTAATGTTTCACACAACCAGTTTTTTTTTTTTTCTATAATCACAAAATCTATGATTCTAAACAGTGATTGCGAAGACGAGGATGTGAGTGCTGTACGGTTGCTTGGATACTTCGGGCCTCGTGATGCCCGGAAGACTATTAAGATGTGGAGCTTTCAGACAGCTGATGTAGCACGTGCTATGATCAGTCTCGCCAAATATGTTTTACACCTGCCTCAACGACATAACTATGATAATAAATGTAAGTAAGTAATCTGTATTTATTTAGCAACTTCAATTAATAAATAAATGGATAAAACAAAGATCCCCAACTAATGAGGAAAATGGAAAACAAGGCAGCTAGCCTTAAATGAGGAATTAGCTACAGCCTAATTAGCAGTTAGCGGAAGCGGTTAGTAACTGTTAACCATTTATCAATGACAACATGCCCGATATCTCTCTTACCTGTTGTGCCTTCAGTATTCTTCTGTTTGTGAATAGTTTGCCTTTAATATTATACTAAAACAGATCTTCGACCGGACTAAGACACCCTGCACTGAAGGCAATCTGTGACGGTAACGTAAAAGCCCTAAACTTAACTTTTGCTCATATGATCACTTTTGCACTTCTCGTTTTCTGCGATATATTTTGAGTTTTGTGGCTTCGTTGCATATGTTGTTGACAAGCTCTGTTCAAAACGGAACCGCTTGCAGCCAGTTTATCAACGTTATAGTTGTTTTAGTATTGCATCCAAATACTGCATGCATGTGCTGCTTCTGAAGATCTAAAGCAGGAACATGCCATAATGTCCCCTAGTTATTTTAAGTCCACAACACGGCACAATTCATGTTGACCTATTTACTCTAAAATTCCAATTAAATCCACAATTTTGAGTACACGCAAGTGGCCCTACTTTTTGTGATTGAGGCCCCGTAGTTTTGGCCTTTGATTACTAATTTACCCCTATTATAAGTGGGAACAATCTGCACAAAGAAAAAAAATCAACTCCAAAGTCCGCATACATGGTAAATTTAAAGGAGGATATAGCTGGTGTCTGGGTGGGTTTGTAGAATGACCAACTGTTGGATTTTAACAATTCCCCTTTCACAACTGAGGCAAATAAATGTCACTGAAAATAAGATTTAGGGACCTTGTATTAAGTGAAATTGTGCGTAATACATACAGTTGGTTGGAATAGTGTTGAATCTGTTGCAACTGATTTTGGAGTGTAGTGTGACTTTCTGTGCGCTTGTTTCTGATGCCAGACCTCAGTTCCTCAAAAATAGCCCCCAGCTCTCCTCGTCCCACTTCTCCTTTAGGCTAGGAGCAGCACTTACAGCCTCCTCTGGGTTGGTTGTGGTCAAATTGTGTTCAAACAGCAGTTCACAATTGCTTAATCTTGCGCTGTCTTTTGTACTCATATTTGTATTCGTGTTATCCTGACATGAACAATGTATGAGTGCACATTTGGAAAGGTACAACAAAATTAAATGAAGTGTGTGACCCGTTTAAAGGTTTAATATTATTTCAAGCAAAGCAGCATCACATGTGTTATTCCTTTATATGACTCTAAGTAACCCAGTTGAGGAATACAAATTACAACATCCATTTGTTTTAAAGCCTCCTGGGGATTATGGGTTGTCACCTGGGATTCCGAATATACCTCTAATAAGAATCTATAATCTGTCATAACATATTTCAGGACATGGCTTTAATGTAATTTTCAGATTAGAATACAACATGATTTAGTTGCTTTATTGACTGTGTATTACTAAACACTTTCCCTTTTTTCTAGTTTGAAGTAAAGTGGAGCAAAGTGTTGGCCTTATGCAATCGGAACACAGCTCTCATCTGTAGTCTAAGAGGACAAGTTGAACGAAGGGCCTTTTCTAGACATGGTAAGGTTCCCACGTGGATACTCAAAGAGAAAACATGGTTCACAGTGGACGTCGGCAGCGAAGGCCACAGCTTTTCCTCTCAGCCTCAGTGAAAGATCCCTCCTGTTAGAGCCCTGGCTCTTGATCAGACTTGATTTGGCTAAAAAGATACTTCCACAATCTGTGCCAACTGACACCCGTAATACAATTTTAAGATAACTATGTTTAGTCTTATCAGACTATAGTATGAACATTTACATGTCTTGGATTGAGAGACTTTGAAATAACATCCTAACAAACCCCTCATTCTCACCTTCACTCGTGTTTATCCCACTGAAGCACTTCACTGCATTGACCAGGGCTTGTTAGCTCCACACAGCATCAGCTCCGACAACCTGAAAGCACATAAAAAAACTACTCAAGTCCTGTTTTTCAAAATGAAATTAGAAGAGCCACTCACACAAGTCTTACAGAAATCAGTATGTATTTCATATGGATATTTTCATATGTCCAGTCGTCCAAGATGATAAAAAAAACTTGAAACGCCTTTCAGGGTAATTAAGGTTTACAACAATAGTCCCATTTTTTTCAAAAGTCTTCAATAATAATTATAATTGCATTTAGATTGTTCTATAGTACTTTATGCATGTCTATGATGTTCCTTTCTATGATAGTACTTCTTTCGCTGACAAGATAGTGCCCCAAATTTGAAGATAAAGTATGGCACTGGGCATTTTAGACTTTTTGGATCATATTACAAAAAAATTAAACTTGCTTTGATTAAAAAAATATTTGGATCAAAATTATTGGTGAGTATTTATTTAAAACATGTCGGATTACGTTTTGTGTTGCCCTGTGTATGAAAGGTGCTCTACAAATAAAGTTTGATTGATTGATTTGATACATTTGCCTCTTCCAAGGGGTTATGTAATCACCATTTGTTTGTCTGTTGTTTTGGTTAGCACCATATAATATTCAGCCATTTTTTAGGAAATTCAGTAGTGCTTGTAAATTGGACATGGAATAAATTATTCTATTTTGGAGATGATATGGATCACCGCCTGGATCCAGGATTATACTTTGTGGCAAAGGTGTTTCACTCATTCTAGGATTATAAATAAAATGCATTATTATTATTATTAATTGCTATTCATCCCATTTACCCAATTCGAAAAGCAAGTTTTATTATTGTTATTTTCATTCCATTTTAGCTTTTAATTAAAGCACACTGAAGTTTGTATGTTCTGTTCACAGTAAAGAAGTCATTCTTATAAGCAATGACAGGAAGTCTTTTTAGTGCATAGATTAGTTTTGTTGTCATTTTTTTCCATTTGAACAGAGCCACACTCTGGCATCTTGTCTCTTTGCTAAATGGTGTAAGCATGAACACAAGCTCGGCTGCACTTGCATCATTGACTCACAGCATGTGAAAGTGCAGCTAGGAGAGAAGAGGCAGCTTTGAAGAATAGTTGCCAAGGAAACTCAGCCTCTCATTCGCATGGCAACGCTTCCTGGCCAACACACGCAGTGTTATCAATCTGGTGGGATGGATGGATGCTTTGACCACGCACTTTTAATCTCTTTAGAGTGGCACAAAAAGCATTAACTCTCTCACCATAGCGGAGGTTGTAAGCTTGACTGTTCAGTTGTGCATTTGCATAACATTAAGTGAACAGACTCGGATCGTTTTAAGTAAATATTCTATTGATGAGTTGGCCTCATATGTTTGGCCAAAGGACAGAGGTCAATTCGCATTTTGGCTTGCTTGAACTAAATCAATTAAAAGAATTGGGTTGCTTAATTGAGAAGAGATGGCAGCATGGTTACCCCTTTTATTTGACGCAGGTTTGGCACTGTTTACAACAACTGTCATTGATTCCACTAATTAGCTGACTGCTCCACTTTCCTCATGACTGACACCTGTTTGCTTGGCTCTCCTCACAAACCTCTCTCCAGATTCTTAATAATTCAACTGTGGCATACGATTTGCATAATAATGGCATGAATGAAAGCTCTCATCTTTAGCGCTCTCCAAACTTTTTAGCGCCATGAACTGGTTTAATGCCAGACAATATTTTCACAGCCTTGTGTTATCTGATACATTATCTGAGCAGGTCTTATTCTCTTAATTCTGGTGTAATTCATCAGCTATAGAGATTATTATGGAGTGAGCACAGACATTGATAATATGTGCACATTTATTTAGATAATTTATCTAAACAGACACTCACAAAAAAGATCTATTCTTTTCCAATGTTTCCCTTTTGCATCTGGAACAAAAAATCTGGAACTGACTAACACTACCGGAAAGTGTGTTAGAAAGTGTGTTAGAAAATGTGTTTAGCTGTGTTTACAACTGCTTTACTGCAGGATTATTGTACAGACCCTTTTAAATATTTGTGTATGTGTGTTTTTACGTTGACTTATTAAAACAACATGAAAACAATTGCCCTATGTAACCCAAGTTCAACATTACGCCTATAGGACTTAATTTAAGCTTGCATCTGATAAATATTATTATTATTATAATAAGATACCCTAAGCACCCTTTAGTGGCACTACAATGCACTGCTATGCCCTGCTAATCTGGCAAGCACTGAAGCGTGATCGTCCATCTCTGTCATCCTAATCAAATAGTGAACTACTCTGCAGTCTCCAGAGAGAACACAGACGTCTAGTCAGCAGCAGGAACCAGGACGTTTGAACATCAGGCAACATGCGGCCAGCGACAAGACCTGTGCTTCATGCAAACAACTGCCACTAGTTAGCAACCATTTGACTCTTGATATAATGCCCTAGCCATCAGGTTTGTTCTACAAGGTTAAAAATAAAAGTAGTATATTTGTGTTTTTGTGGATCCAAACAATTGATTTATTTATCTAATATTTTCAGAGAGTATGTTGTGCTATTTCAGTGTGTTTTTCTCAAGACCTGGAATGTCCAAAAGTTCAGCCAACCATAGCCCTCTATGTCTTTTGACGTAGCCCTCTGACTTACTCACCCAAAGTAGGCCTTGAAATCATAAAATCATAAGTGGCCCTTTTACTATAAAGTTTTGAACAGCCTAGAATGCATATGGCCAGTCTGACATCTTTTCTCTTATAGGGCCGCCTCTGCTAAAACGCCAGATGTATGTCATCTCTGACCTACTCCCTGTCTTTTAATCTGATTTTGAAACTGGCCTGATGGAGTTTGCCTCTTAAGGTAAGTAAATGAGAAATGTATGACAAAATGCTAAACTCTGCATTGTCCCTTGAGACATTAATCATATACTCAGTCCTATTTTTTTAACCTATTTTGTATTAGTTTTCAACACAAGTCAAACACACAGGTCCAGAACACTATTACATAAAATATATAAATCAAGTTAAGTTAATATATATATATATATATATATATATATATATATATATATATATATATATATATATATATATATATAATCAAAGTTATCATATACGATGAAACTCAGAGAAGATACTGTTTCACTCCAAATATGATAGTACTGGGGCGACAGTGGCTCAGTTGGTAGAGCATCTGCCTTTGAGCCTGAAGGTCGTAGGTTCGAATGCACCACGAGACCTACTTCACGACTCCCACTGATGACTGCTGTCGCTGTGTCCTTGGGCAAGACACTTAACCCCACTTTGCCTGAAGCCCCCGCTGAAAGATCTCAACTCCTGTGGACTCTGTGTGAACTGGGTGCAGCTCTGACTGCCACCCCCCCCTGACCCAGAAATGGATTAAGGGGAAGAAAATGGATGGATGGATGAATAGTACTTTCCTTGGCGAAATGAATGCATGCTGTGGATAACTCTAAATAGACAATGACACAACCCATTGGTGGTGAGATAGTGAGTGAGGGGGCTTCCATCAAGTAGCACCATCAGTCATTGAGGATCAATTCAGAACCAGAGATCTGTTTCTCTATGTTGTTCTCTGTCCCAAAAAAACAGAACAATTGTCCAGTTTTTGTTTGGAAATGGCATTGGAGTGCGGTCATGTTCGAATGGAGACTCCACATCTAGCAGTAAATGAAAAAGGGCAGTGTAGCGGCCAGCTAAAGCTCAGCATGGACCTGATGGAGTGCTACAGGCAATTTCTCCTAGACTTCTGTACTTATGAATTGTGCTCGGCTGGTGGAGGTGAGGTAGCGACTGGCGAGAACAATGACCAAAACGTGTGTGAAAAAGGGATCTTGCAAGGAGGTCATCATTCAAGCCCTTCCCCTTTGATTTACACACCCTCAATAAATGTGATGGCAAGAGAAAGAATGGAATATAATACAAGTTGTAACATTTATTCAACTGTAGTTTTGCCAATTGTGTGATTCTAAAATTTGGGGCTTTACCAGTGGGATTTAATAGCTGAGATAGCATCGATATCTATAGCTCCGCATGAGCCTATTAGACAATTAATGCTTCTGGAATGCACAGTTGCTAAATCAAGGTTGTGTTTTCCACCTCATTTAAATGTATGTATTAATTTTGTCTGAGTTAATTGGTCTTGTTTGCATTATGGACCTTGAAAATGAAACGCTTCAGATCTTTTATTTTGAGTTACTTCAGCTTGGAAAGATGAAAGTCAGCAATTCTTGCTATGAACAACAGATTTTATAACTAAAATGCCAACAACCACTGTAGTTGTATTCCGGTCTTCTACTGTCATTCACCTCTTCTTCTCTTATTTTTTTGCATTTGCTGCTCTTCCATTTTTGCAATCATATCAAATCATAAACAACCAGCTACATAAATAAGCGCGGTGATGTGCGGCCGGTAGTGAGGTAGCCCAATTATTGGCATAGTCATAACATTTTTAATGTTGTGGTACAATCTAAATACCTTTTAAACTTCATCCTGTTTGTTAATCTGTAAACCATGCAGATAACAAATAAATCTCTTTTTAATCTGTTCTGTAAACCACATAAGATGTAAAATGGCTAAACAGATCTGCTGACTTCCTGATGATTGTATGCACGGGGGAATTTTACCGTAGCATGCAGCAGATTTTCATTAATGGGTTTATATTGCAGAAATAGAGCGGCATGAAATGGAGCCTTTTGTATGGTTCAAACAAACATATGGATTTATCAAAATAGTCTTAAGCACATGATAGAAGCACTGTTATTATCATGCCAAAAAGTGGGCTGCATTGTCTTCACCTGACTCTAGTCACTAGCAGAGCAACATACAACAATTACAAGATCATTGCCATAAATCAACTAAATTGTGGTCAACGTGGACAGGTTGATGCCATTGTAATGCAAGAATAAGTTTTAAAGAATGCAGTAAAAGTGTTCAATAAAGTGTTCATGAAAGCATTTATAATCAACCCCCTGGCATCTGCTGTTCTTCCCCTTTTACTCTCCTTCATTCCAAGGACTTCCATTGTCACTCTGTGACCTATGCTGTACTACCTCCTGTGCATGTTTCACCCTCCCCATTTGGCCATACACTGCAAAATATGAGTAAAACATTATTTCAATTAGGTTACATCCTTCTTTATTTTTGCTACTGCCCTTGAAATAATACATTTTCCTTGTCCCATTGGGCAAATCATACTTGTTATTACACTTCTTGATTTAAGTATGTATGCTTTGTATTTTGGATGTAAATTCCTCACACTGAAGCAGGATATAGGTCAAGTATACTCTCCAATATATCTTATTGATCACTGAACATAATGTTGTAAATGCTTAGAGCTCTAGGGTTAAAACAAACAATCAAATGAACAAATCATTGCATTTTCCTCTTTGTCAGCAACCCGTTGCATTGCAGGTGAAATTATGATTTAAGTTAGACTGGGACTAAACCTGTAAGTATGGTGTATCCTGGGGCCTCATTTACAAAAACTCTCATCACAATGCGTTTGGATCTCATCCTGCATAATCTGACAGCTCGCAGCAGGCAAAATGTTTGGACCCAGTTATATTTTTTCATATCACTTGAGGCCTAATTCAGAACCAGATAGTGTGAATAACATCAAAACTAGTACTGGTAAACTGGTAATTACAGACTAATATTTGACTATTATGTGATTTGAATAATTCTGTATATCAAATTGAACACAAAGATCACAATATGTTTTAATTATTACATTCAGACAATATTGTGTCCATCAAGTCATAATCAAACTTGCCTATTGTTTGAGGTTCAACTATTGCAAGGCAAACATAACCACGAAGGGCAGAAATGCGTGCTAATACAGAAATGTCTACCTTCACTATCACTCAATGTATTATATTCCATGAGTTTAATGCCTAATGGCCGTACACATTTATAGGACGATAGACGATATGGCATGCATTTTTCATGAACAAACTTAGAAACTGCAGGGCTTCACGAACCATTCAGACAACTTAATTTGCATGACATGCCATTAACATTGATTGTGTGTTTTATGGCAGCTGTCAAAGGTTTATATATGTTAAACAGAAATGCAGTGTGTGCTTGAGGTAAAGAAATCATTGTATTTGATTGAAAAGTCACATTTTGATTTACAGTGATTTAACGGACAGTGTTTGTCTTTCTAACTGACAGCAGATGAAAATATATATATCTGGAAATCACTCATGGTATTGTGTGTTCCCTTGTTGTTGCTGTCTTTAATGGGATCATTTCTGATTTGGGGGGTAATCCCTAGTACCTGACCCTGACGATGGATTATGAACTGAAAGATAACAAGGTTGAGAGGGATCACATGTCAAATCCAAAATGATTCCACATTTTTTTATTTTATGAAATTAAAAGAAGAAGCAGAAGTACCCTTTTGTACAACCTATACAAGGAGAACTCTGAGGATGTTCTTCAAGGGTGACTGCATTTGAAAAAGCAAAACACGAATGTTTTCAACTGCAGCACATTTACCAGTCTGCTTGTCTTTTGTACTTCTACATCTACGCCTTGCAACAAAGCATTACATAGTTGTATTTGTTGGTTGTCTACTGTGTTATTTAGTACGTCAATATTTGTCTTCTACCTCCATCTAGGCCTGGGCAATATGGCAAATAAAGTAAAATGGATGTTTGTGATTTTATATTTATTTTAGTAAAAGTCACCAATGACCAATGCTTTATTAAAGAAGGGCTAGCTGATTTTCCTCTCAATATCTGAGTTTTTCATCTATTTTCCATCTCTCCTCCAAACTGATCATAAACGCTTTAAAAGTTGTGCCTTTTCTGGTCTCCCCTGTTGTTTACACTGTTCTTGCACAATTTAGTTAAATTAGAGGCCTTAAGCAGTGGATGTGGAACCAAAGAAAAAACATGTACATTATCCTGTACTTGATTCCACAGAATTAAAAAAAAAAAAACGACAAATGAAATAGTTGGATTTATTTTCAGGCCATACACCTCTAACGCAGAGCAAACCCTGCATATGTTCATCCCAATCACAAAATCACTGCACACATCAGTGGAGGAGGAACAAGGGCACCATGGGAAATGATGCCTGAGAATGGTAATGGCGTGACAAATAGGTTGGTCTTTGTGTGTCGGAGAAAAATAGTTGAATCAATGAATTATATGCCATGGATAAATGAAAAGGTATTTCTGTTGTTTTTTTGATATAAATGGAGTCTATAGTTTATTTATATATTTTTGGAATAGTCAGAATATATATTTATTTGTTGGTGTGTTATTACAGTCAAGAGTTTAATAACACACCAACCCACACACAAATTTCATTCTTGTCATAATTACTCAACATTGAACTAGAAAGCCTCTGTTTACTGTCAATGCTTGGGCACTGTGTATTCATAATCTAAAAGCAGGCCATCATCTAATATCTATAGCCTACAGTATATTCCTGGATGCTACCTAACGTGGCTCTCTTCTGCCTTGTCACATCAGATCACATCGCTGTATACTAAAATACACACATCTCTGGACAGCACTGTCGACAGTGAGACACACCACAAGTTCTCATCCTCCAGTGTAATGGGAGATACCGGTACATATTTTAACCTCCATCTGTGGGCAATTTAACTGACAGGAAAAAGAAACCATGAGCTGGGATGGCATATATTAACATCTCATGATCGGGAAAGGAGTAGGCACAGAAGCCAGGCAGGGCCATAATGAACGTCAAAATGGGTCGTGGTTGTGAGACCAAGATTGACAAGGAAGCTGTGAGAGCAGCGGAGGGAAATGCAGACCGGCATGTTTCTATGGGAAGATTTGGAATGAGGGAATCTTGCATCATTGCAGCAGGCCAATCAAACGGCTCGGGTAAAATGTTCAAAGGGAGTGTCCTAGCAACAGCACGGATAAATACCATAGCAGCCTCCACTCAGTATGAGCGTAAAGAAAGATCCAAATATACAATCACTGGTGCAGGTGTATTTTATACAGACACTATTGTTTTAACAGCTGAGGGCTATACTGTTATTTACAGATGGGGTAGATTTCTGCAATAGTTTTGTTTACTCTGATCAATCAGTAACACACCATCTAATGAGGATTTTTCAATTTTGCGTACATAAAAATGTGTTTTTTTTGCATAAACAATCATTTATTTCTAATTAATTTAAATTTCCATAAGGAAATGTGTAGTTATTATATGTATTATTTACATTTAAATGTAACCATTTTGAATATAATTGAAAATACAGTTTTTATTATAGTACAGCTGTGCTATTCTTAAGATGTTGAATGCTTTCCAGGTACGTCTTGCATCTCACACAGCCTTACCATAATCTACTATAGATTATATAAAGCAGATTAACAGGGGAACCATCTACTTCCTTGTTTCCACCTTGCAGCTTCTCTCTTCTGTGCACACAAAGACCTGCAGAGTCACATGGTCATTCGATCGCCTCACCCCCCTCACCCTTCCTCACCCTTCCACCATGCTCCGGTACGCTGCACATCTCTGGCATTTGTAGAACCGAGAGAGATTTGAAATTCCCATTCACGCAATCATCTCCCATTCAGGTTTTCCCTCCCAAATTCCCTCCCCTTCCCATTTTTTTTTTTCTATTCCGCATGCACCCTCCTCTTTCCTATCAGATCTGTGGGCTATTGTTTTTAGCACGTACAGTAGCTCTCTAAACAATCTGAACTTTAAACATGCATTGGTATGCATTTTCCTGAATTTCTCCACTTCCTAAAAGCACATTTTACCAATAGCTGTGTAGCGCATTGACTGTCAATACTTCTAGGTCAAATACTGCATTTTATCACTAGTTAAAACAGATGTATCTGTGATTGAAATTTTGTATATGTTTTGAGAGAGCACAGACCTTAGCTATTGCCAAAGAGGACAGTAGATTCCAGCTGACCAATCCCAAAGGGGAAACATACACTTTCCCTGCACAGTGCACACTTACCCACAATTCTTAACCCACGCTACTCCCATTTCCGTTTTAATACCACCCCACTCGCATCTCATCCATCCTCGACTATGTGCTCCACAAGAAGGGGATATAGAAAAGCAAGACGTTGGCCTTATGTAAAACCTGAAAAAGACACGGTTTGTCTTACCAGCTATCATGCAGGAGGGAAGATGATGATGCCTGACTCCTTCCTTCTCTGAGCTGGAGCACAGATGGATGCTGGGAACAAAAGGCGTTGGACAAAGGGTAGAGAGGTGGCGAGTGGCGTGCACACTGGCAGGACCGTAGCTGGCTGAACAAACAATGAAGGAGCAGAAAGAGGAAGCGAGGTCCCTTGTATAGGCGCTTTCGATGGCTGTAGATCCGTCTTGCTTGTAAGCCAGAAGGCGCTGTTCACCTCCACAGCAAGCGCACACACACACACACACCGCCTCACAGCCCTCCCCCGGCCGTTCCCCCTCCCCTCTCTATGTCTCTCCTCTCTCTCTCTCTCTCTCTGCTGTGAGAAATAGAACACAGTGTGCACCCCACTCCTCCCACCTCTGAATCACAAAGACCCCCAGTGCACCCCACATGTCCTCAAAACCACCGCCCTCCCCCCAGAACCAGCCACTGTCCTGCTCACTGTTACGGCAGGGGAGGGAAGGGGGGGGGGGGGGGAGGGGTCGGGTGGCTGTTCTCCTCTGTGATGTCACAAGTGTTTGACATTGCTACAGCAGAGGCCTTTACTCCGCTCTGGCCACACGTGTGAGCAGTGAATCCTGTGAGGAAGGATGTGCGTTGAGGTATTTTTTGCACAGTGCGTGGGTGAGCGAGCATCATCTGCAGTTCCAGAGATGCACAGACTTTACAGTAAATGTGGCAATGGCTGTTTGTGTTTGCTAGAGTGAGAAAAGGGCTCAGGCTGTTCCTGTACTGTATATTTGATTAAACTCTTTAATGCACCCACACACAACAATTCTGCAAGGCACATTGGAGGCCGACATTTTTGGACCAGCATTCAAACGCAGAGTTGACACAGTGTACAGGACCAGAGTAAATTGTATTATTATTTTAAATACAATGTACCAGTGCTCGCTTGTCAGTGTCAGCAGATCCAAAACTATATACAACTGTACAATAACGGCTATAACTATATGCAGAATGCATATCAACAAGGAGAACAAATGGCCGTATTGACAGTGGTCACATGATCGTACACCTGGGCTTCTCAACAACTTTTTTCACAGGGACACACAATACAGTGGTCCCTTGTTTAGCGTGGGGGTTTTATTTTCGCAAGGGACTACTGTATGCGTGAAACTTGCAACTCCCATTGTTGAATAAAGGTGAAAGCAGTTATATTGGATTTATTTAAAACATACTAAATCCACATTGTTCCATTTGTGAAATTCAAATAATTTTTGAATTTCATCTTGAGCTCTGCTTAGTTTCTAACCCAAACCTGGACTAACATCCTAAATCAAGAAGGCTTTTTGAGTCTAGGTTTAGATTGCCAAGTAGTGAAGAGGTGCCAGCTGATTGTCATACTGTCCTTAGAGTACCTTGTCATGTGAAATGTAGACCGTTCAAGATGAGCTCAGTGTCAGTGCTCAGCAGGAATGTAGCGTGCAGTTCAATAAAGTGGCGTAAAAAACTCTCTACCGTACAATTATTAGCTATATTTGTATAGTTCATGTTGTCACTAAAGTTAAACACATTGAAACAGCTGTGGACTGAAGAAGAAAAAAAACGATGCAGATTTGTATGTAGATCTTTGATTATACCTCCCAGTTCGAAAACAACTCTTCATTTTTACGTGTGTGTTCTAGGGTCACTACACTATGTCTGATCATACAGTGGTCTCTTTTCCAGCCTACCACAAAACCCGTCCTCATCATTAGCTCCTATGCCTGGTTCAAATAAACAAAATGAAGACTCCAGCTGGGAAACTGATCCTGGGATGCTCTCAAAAGCACCAGCCTGCCGTTGAGAAATGAATTAATAACTGGTAACCAAGGATACCTTGGGTAGGATGGTGGCTAAGCATTTGCATAGGCGTCTGGGTAAAGTTTACCTTCACAAAAAGACAGTAAAAATATATTCCTGGTAACTAATGAATTTCAATGTATATTTAATTTAGTTGTTTTGGCCAGCACATTGAAATCTAACATGTTTAAATATTAACAAATACATAATGGAGGTTGGAAGTTGGAATGGAAGTTTAATGTGGGGCATCTTGGATTATTTATATAGTCAGAATCATGTTTTCAGGTCATTGGCAAATGGCAACACACCAAATAATAAGATTGCATTGAGATTGAAAGGCATCTCTAAAAATGTAATCAAATCTATGACCCAAAGTGGATATGTCTTGTAGGATTAGATTAAAACATCTAACAAATCATGTCTATATGTATATTTTGATTTAGGCTGTCAAATCAGCACACTGAACTGACAGGTTCAGTGTGCTGCTCCGGCAAATATATGTACAAGATAGATGTTTTAGATTAGGCACTGGTTCTAATTAGTTGCAGTTGTGAATTCATATTTTCCAAGAACACAAACTATCAAAACTAAATATGTACATTGTTGTATTCAAAACAAACATGCATTTTCCCCCTGTCCCGACTCCCTACACTTCCTGTGCCTATTTTTGTCCTCTCATTTGGCCCCATTGACAGAAATGTGGTTGCCTGGCAGCTCCCATCTCTTTTCCATCCTTCCATCTCTATCCTCTCCTCTGCATCTCAGCACCCAGCTATAGCATCAGTCTTCCGGCCCTTTCAACACCCCCATAGAGCCAATGCTGATAGTACAGTCTGCCTGTGCTCTCTCCTTATAAGGGCAAAATGCATTGACAAGAGTGTGGTGAAGGGGGCTGTACCAGTGCAGACAGGCAGGTAGGGAGCATTGACTTGAACAAAAGACGACAGACGAAATGATGTGGGCCTACAACAACAGAGGATGACACTTAGCTGGGGGGAGGGGGTGGCACGTGCTGTTCTATGATTCTAATGACAAAATATGGGACAATACAGAATAGGTTTTCAAATACTAACTTTTATTTCATGTTGATATCCATAAACACAACGTATGATCTCACTGCTTGAAGGACAAGGAGTGTGTCCGTTTTGGGACAGGCTTTCTGCTTCTATTACACCCATTTTAAAACACACATGATAGTTTAAACTAGAAAACTTACAATGTTGTGTTAATTGTTATAATTTGGCGGAGTCAATTGATTGTAAAGTATTTCAATCTTCAGCATTGAAACCTTGCCTGGCAATTCCTTACAACTTCTGTTAGGATTTAGCAGACAGAGACGGATCGTGGTGTGCCAAACTCTGGAAGTTTATTTAAGTTTCTCTCAAGTTCCACTGGTTTACTCTGTTTCTTTCTCTCAGACAGAATAAAGGCAGTACACAGTTTATATAGTCATTGTCACGTCACACATCGAAAGACATACGTGTCACAAAGAGACAGTCACATCATAGTCATAACATGGAGTCCTTGTAGAGTCCTTGTACAGTCCTGCACGTAGGCCATATTGCTATCTAATACTAACACCCTCCCCTTTGATCACATAATCACATGTGATCACTCAATTTGATCAATCAATAAAGTGGAAAAATTCAAAAAAAAAATGTATGCATTAAACTCGTAATCATCAAATCAATATCAGTGGATTTTATCCTCTATCCTGGGAAAAAAACAAAACAAACAAAAATAAAGTAAATAAACAAACAAAAAACAAATCAAAAATAAAAACAAACAAAAACTATGGGACACACAAGAACTCAGCAGATTCAGTCAAAACACAGACAAAAACGAGCTGAGTCTCAAATTTGAAGCTAATTTCACTTTTATTACTCTATACTTTTATTCTAATGCTAATTGTTTACACTACACTTCACTTATTTCACTGTATTATTTTCACTTTTCAATCTTAGACTGTGTACTTTACTTTTACTATTCACTATAGTTTAAAACTATTCTAATCTATTCACATAAATCTCTGTTCTGTGGTTTACACTCTAATTATCAGTGGCATATTATTAGTGGGATTTTGCTCCATGTCTATTCTCATTCTCAGGAATAAAACTGTGAACACAGTAAGGCAAATGGTCAACATTTACACTTCTATAGTGGTCAGTGATTTATTACTTTTTATTATCTAAAGATATTATTGTCAGGCAGTTTGGGATGAATGTACATCATTAATCAAATTAGTATTATCCTTACAAGAGCTAATCTATTTTAGCAGGTTTGGGGTTGGGGTCAGTAATTCTACAATGGTGTTTGTGCTGGAAACTTCTCAATATCTAAATATCTACTATTGTGTTTTTGTGCTATACACAAATACATCAAAATGCTTTTAAATGCTTTTGAATCTCTGTTGGTTGTAATCTATCTCATTAATCTAGGCATTAATCTAGACTACACTCATATGGACTTTTGTATTGTCAACATTCACTCATGTGTGAACACAAGTGAATTTGGCAAGTATCTAATAAAACTGTACATAAAACTGTAAGTAACTTTATCTACTTCTGAAGTAAATGTTTGTGAAATGGTCCCTTTACCATTTGATATTAGCACTGGCTACAAATAATCTCTATTTTTGAAAGCATCTATGGTTGATGCATTTATCTATTTCTCTATTTTTACTCTATTTTTTAACTCCAAAGCTCGGCTGCAGCTTGAGCAAAGGCATATTCCTAATTTGTGACTTCTGTCACTTTTAATATCTCTAAAATACTCAGATCAGCTATAATATTAGAATCAATCAAAAGGATAACATTGTATGGTACTATTTTAACTCTTATGTGGAAATGTGTTTATGAACAACAAAGGAAGTCAAATTCTACTCTTTTACTACTATTTGACATCTAATAAAACGCTACAATACTCATACTTTATCATTTTCAAAGTTTTTGTCTGTCAGATGTCTGAATACTTAACATGTATATTGCATTTGTCACAGTTTCTGGTTGTAGCAATAGCATCGGCAATAGACGTTTTCATTGGCTGGTTCTTGTTCTGCAAATGTCTGTGTCCAATAGATCATCAGATGTCCAGAAGCTAGGGACAAACAAAAACAAAAGAAAGAATCATGAGTATCTCTCTCATTTAGCACTCATCAATGTATGATTTCAAAAATATAAACATCACTCCCCAGTTTTTCTCTCAGGTCCTCAGATCCTCAGGGTCCTCAGGTCCTCTGAGGGTGTCTCAGTCTGGTCCATCAGGTCAGGTCATATTTCGAGAGATGTCATCTTGGACATCAGTAGGGTCCAAGCCATGGTTTTGGTCTCTCCAGATGCACATCAGGATCTCCAGATACAGTCTTTTCAGTTGAAGCACATCAGGTCATTTGCGATGCACTTCTGGTCAATGGTGCAGTGTCTCAGTTCCTGTACACAGCTTGTAATGCAATAGTTACTTTCTATGGTTAAGTCATTTTGATTCTACTTTAACACAATTTCTATTCATGCTGTTGCTAATGTCCCTCAGACAAAAAGCAAGCGCAATGATTCAGTTTACTTCTCTAATTTGTGTTTTTATCAGATCTAATTATAATCAATGTAATTACTTCACACAGTACAAAATCAACAAATCAAAAGTGTCAGGACAGAGGTCAATTATGTCCATGACAATATAGAATTCAAATGAACATTTCTGGTCTCAAAAAATACTGATTCAAGTGATAGACGATTAAAAATATGTGTTTACATTGGAGTAAACTTTTAAAATGCTTTTTCTCATGTTCTGCTTTTTCATGTATCTATATGTAAATGTGAATGTGTGAGTGTATGAATGTATGTGTGTGTGTGTGTGTGTGTATGTAAATTTTGGGGTTGTGTCTCCAGACTCCTCGAACCACCTGTAGGTGTCAAAGGTCACACTGTGGTGATGTAAACAAGCAAAGTGGGCACACTTCCAGATTGCAAAACAACTCACCCACCACTGCCTTCAGAAAACCTCACTTTGTGGCCCCGGTCTCACTGCCACTTACGACCATCGGTCTGTAGTGGGGGAGGGGCACACGGAGGTAGCTATGGCGCCTTTACGATCTGCGGCTGGTTGGATGGTGTCTACTCTGGGCCACTGTTCTGATCCCTCTGTGTCCAGTCCAGCAGTGACCCTGTACAGTGTGGCAGAGTCTGAAAAACAATCCTTGAGACGGCCAATTTAAAAAAACAATAGATATCAGTATGCGAATGAGATTGTTTTTCTCCCTAAAGTCAAAACAATTTTGGAGCGCTCTGGGTTTTCCCACATGCGCTATGTAAATAAAAGATTACTTATTATCTTACTAATGATGACATTTTTAACACCAGAAACTCTTAATATAAAAAACAAGACTCAAATCTCTTAAACCTTCAAACTTTAAAATATGTATTATGTACTTTTGTACTGTGTTTAATTATCTATGCATTTATCTCAGCATATATTTTACTAATTTAAAATAATTGCAGCATTTTTCAAATGAAGTCAGTATGAATTGGAGCACATTTTAGACCAGGCTCCTCTTCTGTGGCATCAGCAACAGTAAGGTCAGGCGTGTAGTCAAAACAAAAACAAAAAGTCACCGCTTGCAATGGGTGAATTGGGTAGTTTAACTTAATAATACTTTTACAGCCTAATTCCTAATTCCCTCTTTCTTTTTAGACAAAGTCTATAATCATTAATCACTTTTAACACAGATTCTAATTTAAATGTTTGAAAAACGGCTTTTGTAACTAAAATAAAAACATAAAAAAATTCTCACAAACAGCTATGAAATATATCAGAGATACAATAATGGACTCACAAAATAAGCAGCAGATTTAAAAGAATGGAATCTAGAAATATGTTAGGTCTAAAAAGAATTGCACAGCTTTAGCACTAATATTTGGGTTTAAAAAAAAACCATATAATATTCAAAACTTATATTTACTAATGGTGTTTAAAAACGTTTAACTGTGTCATAACACAATGTTCAAATGGCAAATTTCGCAAATTTAACGGAATAACAACTATGAAAAGCCAAAAATCCTAAAGCAGTAGCTTTGCTCTGATTCAGAGCCAGAGCAGCGAAGGAGGGGGCCGTTTCCCTGACAACGGGAGCAAGATAGAGATGTGCACCCACAGGCAAAAAGATACAGAAGAATAACTTTCAAGATTACTTTGTTAAGCGAATATAACTTATGTTGTTCTTTATACTTTTGTCATCCAAGTCTAGAAGTGATCACTTTCCACACTAGTAACAAAAGGCACTCTTGTCTTTAACGTTTACGCTTCTATTTTATTGAGGTAGCAAACTAATTTAAACTCAAAATCTCTTTCTAAAAAACAAAAAACAACTGTTGGATACAACCCTCTCATAGCTCAACTGTAGATATAACTCGGCAAAAAATGTAAATAACTCACGAAAGCTCTCATAGCTCAACTTTAGATAAAACTCTGCATTCTCCGGTGAACTCTGTTCACTCCAAAAACAAAAACTCCCCTTTTCTGTATGTAATTTAAACCGTGATCACTGAAATATAACAGATGTTATTGCTTCAACTTTTGTCACTCATTAAACTTGAAATTGGCCAATTTCAAGACTTTTGCAACAAAGGTCTCTGCACTCGTTTTTCCTCCCTTTTTATTTATTTTTTATTTTTACACCATGGTTTCTCTCAAAGGGACTTTAACCCTGAAGCTTCTTCTCAAAGGGACTTTAACCCCGAGGCTTTTCTCAAAGGGACTTTAACCTCGAGACTTTCTCAAAGGGACTTTAACCCCGAAAACGTTTTCTCAAAGGGACTCGAACCCTGAAGCTTCTTCTCAAAGGGACTCTAACCCCGAGACTTCTTCTCAAATACAATTTAGAGAGTTTGACAGACCCCAAAAACAGAGCAAAATTTAGCTAATATCCAATTATGCAGACTTTACATATAAAAAGGTGTCTGCTTACCTTATTCTTGTCAAACCGGTTCCAAGGACTGTCCGAGAGGTCTGCCAACCTCTTTTCCGCGTCGGAATATTCAATTTAAAAAACAAAAGTGACAGAAGCGACAAGAAGCATCCAGGAACAGCTCTTCCAGCCTGCTGGAATCTCCACTCCCAGACACAGCATGCCGATCTCTCACGCCGAGGAAAAGAAACAGAGCAAACTCCCCCAAAACAATCCAGAGAATGGCACACACTGAGCCGCGCATTCTCCACCAAATCTGTTAGGATTTAGCAGACAGAGACGGATCGTGGTGTGCCAAACTCTGGAAGTTTATTTAAGTTTCTCTCAAGTTCCACTGGTTTACTCTGTTTCTTTCTCTCAGACAGAATAAAGGCAGTACACAGTTTATATAGTCATTGTCACGTCACACATCGAAAGACATACGTGTCACAAAGAGACAGTCACATCATAGTCATAACATGGAGTCCTTGTACAGTCCTTGTACAGTCCTGCACATAGGCCATATTGCTATCTAATACTAACACTTCTAAAAAAAATCGGTCCCATTAGATCTGCACAAGAGCCTATATTGCTGTTGTCAATAATAAATAATCATGAAAACCCTCTATATCCTGTCACAATATATGACAGGACAAATATATATGTTTTGACAGGCCTAGATCTTACAAAAATCCTTATTTTGATGACTGGGTTGCTGCTCTCTCTTTTGATCTATAATTGTTTGTGGACCCGGTTCACATGTTAGTTCAACTGCCAGCCACCCTGTGGACAGTGGCTATGTGCTAATTGGGGATATGTGAGCTTGTGAATGAAAGTGGCCGGGATGAATGAAGCTGAGAGAAGCCTCTTGTGTTCCATGTCTGTTTGCATATGCTCAACCTGCCCCCCTTCTGTGTGCTTACTGCAATCTGTATCAATTTAGGCAAATATTGGGTCCTCTGGTGAGGCAGTGGCATCCATTTGGGAATGATACATGCAAATCCAGTTAATCATAAGCACCATGTGCGTTGCAGCTGTAAAAGCTGAGGATTTAAAGTATGATTTACAGTGCGAGTCTCTAGGTGAAGGAGCTCTAGCAGATGGGAATAGTTTATTTTAGATGTATTTGTCATATCTGTACTAAACATCCACTCATGGCATCTCTCAAAGCCTGTAGGCTGTACTATGTGTACAGTACACTGACTCATGGCAGATGCATGAATATTTTTAAACACTGCTTCTACTATATTACTGCAAATGCTTGTGTATGAATAATTTAAGCTGAGCAATCATCACTAAAGGGTTAACTTGTGCCTTAAAAGCTTTTTCAAGACGTTTGAAATTAGATTTGAGGTAGATTGTAAAACTACTGCTTAGTAGTTAGTGGCACCAGGAAGCTTCAGGGCAAAGGAAAAAAATAGGGTCTTAATTTGGACTGCACAATTTACGTCTAACTATATATTTTAACTCTCCCGGAAATATTACTGAATGACCCTAACAATCGTCAACAAAGCATCATGCAGTGTATGAGACCAACAGCACAGTAAGACACTGCATGCCAGAAAATACCTTTATGATAATGAAATTCAACAAAAGCTCTAAGGAAAATGCCATGTAAATTCAACCTGAAATGAGCTTTTGAAATTAAAAAAGTTTTAGATAAGATTTTAGGGAGTGCAACAGACCATTATTTTTCTTTTTTACAATAAACTACATTTCTTTGGCACCACCTGTTGGAACAATATATATGGAAAATAAAATTAAATACATTTAACAGAGATTCATAAAAAATACATTTATTGTGAAAAGGGAGCTGCATATAAACAAAGGACATGGAAAACAATGTGTTTGTATAAATAGTCAATTTTTACTAACATCAAGAAAATCGTAACATACAAACATTTCACAAACCTATCATGAATGAAAAAACAACAGCCTCAATATCTGTATTTTGTAGAATAGTCCTTTGGAGAAACCACAAGACCTCTTCCCTTTCTTGCTCCTCTGTAAACAGTTTCTACAATGTCTATCATCTCCTGCTTGTCCTCCATTGTCCAATTGATTTTGTTGTTGTTTCCTGTTCCCAGATCTATCATGATGTGTTTGTTCCTGCAACAAATAATTGCATCAAATAATAATCTACACAACTTAAATACAAACAGAAGATTTTAAGTTCATTACCTAAAAAAGAACATCACGGTGCAAGGGTCGTATAACTCGTACATTTTGTTGAAGTCTGGTACTTCTGTGATGTCGACAAGGTAGATCACGGCAAAATTCTTCACCTGCGTAAAAAACAAAATGATAAACAAGCCATGGTTTATAGAATGTAATATCTATGCAACATATAGATAAACTAAATCAGTTAAAGCAATCAATCAATCATACAAACAAATAATCAAAGGGGAGGCTTTTGTTCTTCAAATTATTATTTTGAAATAGTCAACTCGTTTCTTTTTTATAATTGAGCAATTGTTAAGGGCTCTGCAGACTCCAACACTTATGTGGCTTAAAAACTTTAAAAGTCCCATATTAAATATTTTGACTTTTCTGTGCTTTAAACATCATCAAAGTGCTATTGGGCCTTCATGTACGCGCCCAAAGTACCGTAAGTTTCTCATTGATTTCCTCAAGCTTTTAAGCAAGAGAGCGATCTTTCCCTTTCAATCTTGAGAGGTAGCAAAACGCCTCTGTTCACTTTGTGACATGGCACCAATTTGTGACGTGGGACCGAGATGGAGAAACTTGCCTCCAGGAGGTGACTGACAGGGGTAGAAAATTTTAGAATGATCAATTTAATTTTTTATTTCTATCTATTAAAACAGCACAGCCTCTTTCCAGAGTCCTGTCTATGGTCCCGCGTCTACCAGTCTGTTCACTTCATGTAGAACCTTGCTGTTTTTCTGCCATTATCAGGAAACAAGTGTTAGCATCATGTGACTTGTGACCCACAATAAAAACACTAATAAGGAGATCTGTAGGTACGTACGACACTACTAACTTATTTGTATACTACTTTTAACTAATTAATTAGGGTCCGATTCTGGATCGAGGACATAGGGCTTTATCTGAGGAACTATCTGAGGGACTGCCATGGTTGAAAAAAAGTTTATCCTCAGGTTTGAAATTACCATACCGGCAAACACCGAACCCCCACGCTGTGTTTACAAAGTCAGCGTGAGCGGACTTTGTTAGGGGGAGGCGGGCACACAGGGAAATCAATTAGTTTAGATCTGTAAAGGTCAGTGAATGTTGTTTTTTATTTATATTTTACTAAAACAAATCTCAGTCCCTGGAGAACATCTTCAAAGAGATGACTTGTTACACATTGGGTTGTTAGATTATCTACTTTTAATGGATTACTGAATTAGTTGGCAACCATTTCAATAATCGATTACTTTGTGATTAATTGATTACTTTGTTACAGCCAAACGATTTCTTAAAGAAATAATGGCTAGTAATTGCAGTATAAGGGTGAATAGTGAGCAATACAACTAATTTACATTGGATATATAAAATGGGGCAACAGCATTTTCTAAATTGTTTGTAAAGAATTACAAGTAGAAGTCTAAAATAATTGTTCTGCCAAACCTGCAATTATAGCCCAGAGTTTCTTATTTTATCTTAAATTTATTGTCTATTATCTTAAATAATAGACTTTGGTGTGTGCAATCTGAGTGCTCTTATTTCCTTTCTCTGCTGTAATGTGCGCAACGATGACACTGACATTTCTCCACTGTGAGACTAATAAAGGTTTATCTTATCTTATCTTATCTTCTGGTTAATCCAGAAGAACTGGACCAACAATGGAAAAATAGAATACTGAAACCAAGCATAGACATGAACGTTAGCTCAAAGCAAAAGCACAAAGACCCCATTTGTATGTTTGGAGAGATGGAAAATTGGCTGATTTAGTCCCTCCGCAAGTTGAATAGGCCTGATCTATATCCATGCAACGGGAACATTAGCAGCTAATGCTAATACTGCTATCCAGCGTCGACCTAAAGAATGCCAATACTACACGTACATGTATGTCTCTCGAGGACGTTACCTTTTCAGCGATACTGTACAGTACTTCATCCATCTTCATGCAAGTGGGGTCCCAGTCGTGACCAAAACGAATAACGAGAACACGATCCTCTTCCGATAGAATAGCCTGGTCAACCTGCCAGCCATTGTGAAGATGTGGCAACATGTACGACATTGTGGCGTTATAATGGGCTCTTCAAACCTGAAAACAGATGAAAGTCACAGCGCGAAAAACACGTACAAAAAATGAAAGGTTACGCTAAAGTTTCTTAGCAGCGACGTTAACTCATGAAAGCTTCATTTCCAGAGGTGGAAATGGCACCGGTTATAATAATATACATTATAGTCTGGACTATAATTACCTTACAGAACTTGATGTGACGATTGATGATCTGATGTGAAGATTTTCCGATTATTAGATCGATACGTTTATGTCAAATGTATGTGTTATGTTGTTGGTTCTTGATCAACAACGGTGAAGCTTGAGGATCATGGATCTATTCGACCCTAGTCGCATATATGACGTCATATTAGGCGCCCAACTATGGACCGCAATTATTTTGTTCTATTTATTTGATCCATAGACTGCATATATTAATATTTGATCACAATCATTGTAACCGAGTTAATAAATAAATTAAATAAGCTTTTTTTTTCAAAACATTACAAAACAAGGGTAAAAAAACTATTTACAGATTTTACAGACCCCTTACTACGTGCTAGTGGAACCATCATGGCAAGGCAAGGCAAGGCAAGGCAAGGCAAGGCATGCTGAACAAAACAAAATAGCCTTAAAATCATAAATAATCACAGAACATTAAAAGGAAAGATAAAAATGTGAGAAAAACAGCATGTTGAGAATTAATTAACTGTGGGTAAAGAAACGTTCATTACATTGAAAACGAGCTATCCTGCCATGCATTATTTATGCAATGTTTATGAAAGTTTTATGTTAAATAATATTAAAATAATTGTTGTGTGGACTTTTCACCATAGTAAAAATATGTCAATGTTGTTAAAGTATAGTAATAATGTATTGGCCTCATAAGTTGCTAAACTATTTATCATGTTTACTAGTCTGTCATTTGTATCAAAAGTGGGCCGGACATGCTTGTGATCAGGTTGTACATAGTCATGATGAATCACTTAAACCTCAAAGTTGATTAACAAAAAATAAATAAAGCTAAAGTGCATTTTTCTTTCTCAAGATCTTCTCAAGATCTAGTCTTCTTGTCTTCTCAAGATAAAGCATTTCTTCTTGACAAAGAACAGGGCAGAGAATAGATTTATATTTATATTTTGCACAAAGGAGATGTGATTGATAAAAGTGGCATGACTAGTTGTGTGCCATTTGTAAAACAAGAATGAAAAATGCTGAGTCACTGTGAGTAGTGAAGTCAGTCACGCATTGGAGACGAGCACAGGAAAACAAACAGAGAAAGCAGAGTACAATACCGAATCATTCCCATTTTGTCACATTAACGGTTAAAGAACAATGCAATGATATCATGTGTTTAATGAAAGCATAATCTTTGCTGTTGACCCAGTTGCATGCGCTGCAGGCAGTGACAGCCGTGTGACTGCTCTGATAAAAAAAAGTGGGATGTCTCAGAATTTGACACCATCAAGCCGTGTGCAAATTACCTCCTGCAAAAACATATAAGTAGGAGGCTTCCTCAGTTCTCCACATTCCCAACCTCTACGTACCTTACTCTCGTACCATGGCCGATGATATGCATCTGTGGTGGGGCTCCGGCTCTCCCCCATGTTGGAGGCCGATGATTGTTCTGGAGGAGAAGGGTCTGCAATACCACAGCCACCTGAAGTCTTTCGAAAATCAGGATCACAAGAAGCCGGAGATTCTTGAGATTAATCCAAGAGGCCAGGTAATTTCAACCAGTACTTTTACAGGCGCAGTATCTTTCTGATGTCAAATCTCATCAGATTGTTTATTATTTCTATATAGTTCCCTACATTCAGACATGGAAATATAAAAATCAACGAGTCCTATGCTATTTGCGAATATTTGGAGGTAATTATTTTTTTTTTTGAATCTTCTTGCAATAGATCTGAACTGTATTTATTTGTATTTCTTTCCTGGTAATAGGATCGATTCAGTGGCCAGGGAACTCCACTGAAGCCTAAGGACATTGGGGAGAGAGCATTGATGATGCAGCGAATGCATGAGGGAAATACACTCATGTCCAAATTTGGTATGTTTTTAATTTCTTATAATCCAGCTACATTTCACATAACTCCTGATCACAATTGTATAATTGCTTAAGGGGTGAAAAAAAATCATTCAATCAAATCAAATGAATAGAAAGCTTTGATAATAATGCAACAACAATAAGTTTGTTTTACACAGAGATGAACAAGACTCAACATATAATTTTATTTCTGGCACAAACCCATTCTTTTAACTATGCATCATACTTTTGTCTGAAATGTTTAGGTAATATGCAAGTACTAGTTCATAGATTACTCAAACTAAAGAAAGATCAATAGCTGCCGCACTAGACACTAAATCTGGTTTTAAGACTCGTGTCATCCACTAGCAACGCTTTTGTTTTGAAAACCAGAGTTGTTTTTCTTGCAGTTCATATCCTCAGAGACAGTACGCACACACACAAGCACATGCACAGACACAGGTGCACACACAGACACAATCCTTAAAATGTGGGCCATCTAAAACATTTGCCTTGTGTGTATGAATTGTATTTAAGCTGTGACCTAGTCATGTGTTCCCTAAAGAATTGCATTGGGAGGTGTCCCTGTCTTTGCACATTCATTATCAAAGCAATAAGGTTTAAACGTCATGCGTTCCACCTTTGGATCTTGAAAAGAATCCAAGACAAATATGAACTGTTGAAGTTGATACGGTACCTATTCAATTTTAATCAACTTGTGTTTTTTATTTTTTTTAAGAAATACCGGTTTAAAACCTAATTAAGCCTGTTCTTCAACATGTTCCAGCTGATGCTGCTTTCTACACCTGGAGAGTCCCTGAAGCTGAAAGAAATGAGGCCACTCTTAAACGACACAAAGAGGCCCTAACTACTGAGGCCACACTTTGGAATGAGTACCTGAAAAAGGTGACAATTGCGGCAAAATGAAAACATCAGAAATCATTTGTAGTGGACCATAGCTGGCAGACTATAATGTTTGCCTTTTCCTGCAGGGTGATGGGCCTTTCTTGGCTGGGAAGAGTTTCAGTTTAGCTGATGTGATCGTCTTTCCGGTCCTTGCCTTTCTCTTCAGAATGGGGTAAGTATCTGTTGTGGGTGGAGCTGATCTGTATCTACTCATGCACTGCACGTAGACGATGTATTCAACATTCCTCTCCGTAGGTTGTGTGAGGAGAAATACAAGAATCTCGCAGAATACTACGACCACCTAAAGGCCCGCCCCAGCATTCAAAAGTCCTGGCCTCCAACCTGGAAAGACACTCCCGGCTCACCGGTGCTCAAAGATATTTAACTACATTCCTGCCATGAATGGAGACTGTTCTGCTTTGAGTAATGCATTAACTATATCTACTGTAAACTAAAATAAACTTTTTTAAATGATCATTCAATATGTTTTCTCTGTATAAATCAGCATCCCTGCATAAGGTTTAACACCAAAAGTATAACAGTATTTATAATATATAGTCAATTGTATTGCAAAAATAGTCTAATATTAAACAAAAACTTAAATAACATGCTTAGGAGCACAATGTTAAGAATAATAATGATCTGGATATGGTAGATGTGAAGTATGTTCCCTCGTATGAAAACTCTCCCTTTGTCCCGACTCACTTGTGGTCTGTGGTGGTTTTCTTTCCATCCATCCATCCATCCATCCATTTTCTACCCTTTAATCCATTTCTGGGTCAGGGGGGTGGCAGTCAGAGATGCCACCCAAGTCTCATAGCACCAGCCCCTCACTGACCCTCTGCAGGTGGTGAGTCCACAGGAGGACGGCTGCTCTCTGAGTGTGAGCATAGCCTTGATCTTTCAGTGGGGGCTTTGGGCAAAGTGGGGTTAAGTGTCTTGCCCAAGGACACAACGACAGCAGTCATCAGTGGGAGTCGGTGGAGAAGGTGCAGAGGTTGGAATTGAACCCACGACCTTCTGGCCTTAAGGCCAATGCTCTACCAACTGAGCTACTGTCGCCCTCTGTGGTTTTCTTTCAGCACAATTAATATCTATGAACAATGTGCGAGAATACAACTGTGCAAATACAATTCCAAAGTCAGGGGAAAAGAAAAAAAGCGTCCTCAGTAGATAAGCTCTTCCACCACTAGATGGCGGTCTTGGTCGCACGCTCTGCAACACAATTCTTTACAGAACTTTCCCTCACACTGTCCTTTTGGGTCGTTCTGACCCATGCCTCCTTCAGTTGATAACAAGCTTGGGTCTAAAGGGGTCTAAATGACACAGGGCCGGTCAAGTTAGAAGAAGTCATCGAAATTTGGACATTTTTTGTGTACTTTGAATCCCTGTGGCGGGACAGCACAACCGTTTTAAAGACTGTCAAACTTTAGATCAGACCTGGGCGGACTGTGGGCTGGGGGCTACATCTGGCCCTATTCACGTTTCTAAGCGGCCTTTCCCAGTACTAATTTAGCAACAACATTCAACTGTAAATTAGTCTACAATCCAAGCAAAACCAAAAAATATTGAAACTCATCAATAATTACTATCACAGTGTAAAAGGTGAAATGGAAAGATAAACTATAAACAAACTTTATACAAACACATAGATTAGAAATAACAATATATGTAAGCTCCATGTTTCCCCCTCTTCTTTATGATGTATTAAATAGCAATTATATTTTGCTAAATTTATATAATTGGTGACACTCCGAAAAGATATAAGAAATGAGTCAGGCCCTACACAGTATCCCCATGAGGCCCAGTAGAGAGACTATCCAGAGGGTCCTATCCTATCCTAATCCTCGCTGTGTGAAGGAGAGGTTTCGCAGGTCCTTCTTCCCTGTTGCTGTCAGACTGTATAACAAGACCTGCTGAGTCTGTACAAGTGTCACCGATAATTCACTAGTAACTTAGTCACTTTACCTGTTATTACCATTACTGAATTATTACATATCCACCCATCTGATACTTCTGCCATTCACTAGTCACTTTGCCTGTTGATATTACTGATATTTTTTCTGCTCATATTCTCCGCTGCTAAAGTACAATATACTTCTGAACCATCCATCCATTTTCTACCCTTTAATCCATTTCTGGGTCAGGGGGGTGGCAGTCAGAGATGCCACCCAAGTCTCATAGCACCAGCCCCTCACTGACCCTCTGCAGGTGGTGAGTCCACAGGAGGACGGCTGCTCTCTGAGTGTGAGCATAGCCTTGATCTTTCAGCGGGGGCTTTTTGGGCAAAGTGGGGTTAAGTGTCTTGCCCAAGGACACAACGACAGCAGTCATCAGTGGGAGTCGATGGAGAAGGTGCAGAGGTGGGAATTGTCTGTTATCTTAAATAATAAGACTGTCTTTGATGTGTGCATCTGAGTGGTTTCCTTCTTTCTCTGCTGTAATGTGCACAACAAAGATGCTGAAAATTCCTCACTGAGGGACGAATTACGGAATATCTTATCTTATCCACAGAGAACACATCTGCTCATGAATGGAGAGTAAATTGGATTACTGTAAATATCACAGTATACTTGATTGGGTTGTGGCATTTTGTTTGTTGTACAATGTCACAGACTGACGGTTTATTGGTTGCCTCGCTTCTGTCAGTGTGCCCCAGGGCAGCTGTGGCTACCGTAGGATCTCCACCGTGTATGGAGTGAAACAATAAGTTCTTTATGCATCATTATTATTATTTTGTTGTTTTAGTAGGGAAAAAATATACTGCACCAAGATGACTACTGTTGTAATTTAGGGCTATACAAAAAATATTTAAAATTAACTATGAAAGCATCTCCAGCTATACTGGTGGATAGAACTACTGAAAGTTTTTTTTTTCTAGTTAGAGTATTGGTTTTCAAACAATCGAGTTGATACTTTTGAGGGGCTAACTTTTACTCATAAAAAGCTGCTATGTGTAACTAGAAACTTTATTGATCCTCTGCCTTACAAGCTTCCCCTTATTTTACAAGAAAATAAGGGTGAGAAATGAGATCATCCCACATCAATCCTTCAAAATACTGTACAAAATGTATGAACACTTTCATAAAAAACAAAACAAAAACCTTTGGAAAAAATAGGAATATCGTTGGCAATGAGAAAATAAAATATGCATTACCCATCGTGATTGCGCAATAATTACAGTGCCTTGCGAAAGTAAACCTTTAAACATTTCGCCACATTTTAGTCTTCAAACATAAAGACATACATTTTAATTGTTGTCATGAATCAACAAGTGGGACACAATCGTGAAGTGGAACGAAATTTATTGGATAATTTAAACTTTAACAAATAAACTGAAAAGTGGGGCGTGCAATATTATTCGGCCCCTTTACTTTCAGTGCAGCAAACTCACTCCAGAAGTTCAGTGAGGATCTTTGAATGATCCAATGTTGTCCTAAATGACTGATGATGATAAATAGAATGCACCAGTGTGTAATCAAGTCTCCGTATAAATGCACCTGCTCTTTGATACTGAGGGATTTTATATTTTTATCTTTCGTTTTAATGTTCTGTAATTATTTATGATTTTAATGCTATCTTGTTCAGCACTTTGAGTTGCCTTGTGTATGAATTGTGCTATACAAATAAACTTGCCTTGCCTTGCCTTGCCTTGCCTTGCCTTGCCTTGATAGTCTCAGGGTTCTGTTTAAAGCACAGAGAGAACCATGAAGACAAAGGAACACACCAGGCAGGTCCGAGATACTGTTGTGGAGAAGTTTAAAGCCGGATTTGGATACAAAAAGATTTCCCAAGCTTTAAACATCTCAAGGAGCACTGTGCAAACAATTATATTGAAATGGAAGGAGTATCAGACCACTGCAAATCTACCAAGACCCGGCCGTCCCTCCAAACTTTCATCTCAAACAAGGAGAAGACTGATCAGAGATGCAGCCAAGAGGCCCATGATCACTCTGGATGAACTGCAGATAACTACAGCTGAGGTGGGAGAGTCTGTCCATAGGACAACAATCAGTCGTGCACTGCACAAATCTGGCCTTTATGGAAGAGTGGCAAGAAGAAAGCCATTTCTCAAAGATATCCATAAAAAGTCTTGTTTAAAGTTTGCCACAAGCCACCTGGGAGAGACACCAAACATGTGGAAGAAGGTGCTCTGGTCAGATGAAACCAAAATCGAACTTTTTGGCCACAATGCAAAACGATATGTTTGGCGTAAAAGCAACACAGCTCATCACCCTGAACACACCATCCCCACTGTCAAACATGGTGGTGGCAGCATCATGCTTTGGGCCTGCTTTCCTTCAGCAGGGACAGGGAAGATGGCTAAAATTGCACTGTTAACCCGAAAGTTAATTGCACTCGAATGGTTTCAGCTCTAACCACTGATGGTAAATAATTTTCTCTGTAAAACTCATCATACAAGTGTGGCAGAGAGAACTCTTTGGTTGAAGTTGAATGAACTTACCATATTTAGTGTTGCATGTGATGCACTAGAATGAATACAGTTGTAGTAGTGATCTCATTTCCTTGTTTATATGAGTGTTGACCTCAAAACTCATTCTTATACACATTTGTACTCAAACTATATTTTAGAATGAACTTAGTATAGATTGGACCAAGTTAAATGTATTCATTCTAGTGCATCACATGCAACACTAAATATGGTAAGTTCATTCAACTTCAACCAAAGAGTTCTCTCTGCCACACTTGTATGATGAGTTTTACAGAGAAAATTATTTACCATCAGTGGTTCTGTTTAAAGCACAGAGAGAACCATGAAGACAAAGGAACACACCAGGCAGGTCCGAGATACTGTTGTGGAGAAGTTTAAAGCCGGATTTGGATACAAAAAGATTTCCCAAGCTTTAAACATCTCAAGGAGCACTGTGCAAACAATTATATTGAAATGGAAGGAGTATCAGACCACTGCAAATCTACCAAGACCCGGCCGTCCCTCCAAACTTTCATCTCAAACAAGGAGAAGACTGATCAGAGAATTAGACAAGAGGCCCATGATCACTCTGGATGAACTGCAGATAACTACAGCTGAGGTGGGAGAGTCTGTCCATAGGACAACAATCAGTCGTGCACTGCACAAATCTGGCCTTTATGGAAGAGTGGCAAGAAGAAAGCCATTTCTCAAAGATATCCATAAAAAGTCTTGTTTAAAGTTTGCCACAAGCCACCTGGGAGAGACACCAAATCATGTTTTCCTCGGACTTGAACGTATTTTTCCAGTCTGTAGTCGATGGAGCGCACTCTTCCTCAAGTCAAAGGTGAGTTAAATCTTTGTATGAAGTATTTTTGTTTTTTTTTAATTTATTTTATTTATGCAGCGGCACAAGCTAATGTAATCTCCTGAACATTGTTTTGAGTCTATTGTTTTTCTCAATTTTTAGACAAGGTTATTTTCTTGCACTTTTTATTCAATACGGTACACGGAGCCAGTCTCTGTCACTGACGCTTGCACACGTGTTACACCGGACTCCAGTGACATAGCGACGTTAGCGATCTGCTCCAAGCCCCGGCGATCCAAGATGGCGCCCTATTCAAATGAATGGTTGTGCTCAGTGGCGCTCTGTGACGGCATGGAGGCTGAAAGATTAGCGGAAGTTGCCTGAAACTCGCAAAGATCTATGGGAAACTCGCCTGTATTTGGGCATCGTCTGGGCCTCCCGGTTCTGCGCAGTGGATGATCTCCCATAATGCGTTGCGTCAAACACGCGTGTGTGGGTCTCACACCGGGTCTCACGCACGTGCACAGAGGGGCTCGGCCGCGCTCTGACCAATCAGAGCAGTTCATCAGAGCGGGAGTTAGAGCGAGAGCCAGACGAGCAGAGTTTGTGGCACTAAAGTGTGGATTTAAACAAAACCGAAGGATTTAAGAAGAAAAAAAGTTCAGGATGACAAGGGACACTAAAATCCCCACACAAAAAAAAAATCCGGTCTTTATTAAAGCTGTAGGTTCTCTGTCAGCTGAGGTTGAGCTGTTTTAATATGCATTGAGTTCTATGGGGAAAATTTCTGGGTAGCCCACGTGAATTTAGTCTGGTTCAGTCTGCAGTACTGCGAGAATCCCCTGAGCACATGGGTTATTCAGCTACAAACTAGTAATACCCTATCCAGTTATTATAATACATCCATGATCTGCTCCCGTTCTTTTCCCACGGAAGCTGGAGCAGAGAGGGGACCAGCAGGAGCAGAGAGGGGACGAGCAGAGAGGGGACCAGCAGAGAGGGGACGAGCAGAGAGGGGACCAGCAGAGAGGGGACCAGCAGGAGCCACGTGGAGAGTCTGCTCCAGCGTCCATGGGAAAAGCACAGAGCTGGTTGCTGAGCCGCCGGAGGTTTGAAATGTAAGCTAAGCTAACTCTGGTGCTACTGCTGCAAACCAGAGAATCAAGTCTTTACTTTGAACTAAAGAGGGCGGTTAGTTCAGTGCGCGCACTTTCACTGTTAGTGTCATGGCTGTAAAGATAAGGTTACACAGACCTGTTGTGGGGTTAGGGTTATAGTTGCTCAAAGTACCAAATTATTTTAAAATGTTCTTTCCTTTCTTTCAGAGCTGAAGTGGTCAAGCCGGATTGTTCAGGGGTGACTGAATGCCAGGTTTGTTTCTTTATTGTTAATCTTGTGTTATACTTTTGCAAGTAATAATTGGGGGTTGTTTATAGGTCAACTCGGAATTCAACATAATTACTGGAAAAACGTCCATTGGAGAATTATTTACTACTTTGGACGGTTTCTACCTTGGCTTTGAAGAGGCCTTCACCAGAAGGACAGAATATGAAGGCAAACATTCAAAAGCAAAAGGTGAGTTGGCCTCATTTAATCTTGGTACAACATGTCTCTTCTCACGATTAGAAGTGGTAAACATCAGTTGTAACTATTTGCAGGGCATGTAACCCACTCTCAACTGATGTTCGGACCATACGGAGGGCTTCCTGTTCTTCTTGGACAATGTTTTTAAGTTCAACACAAGTCACAAAGTAATGTTTGAATATTCAAATTATACTTTTTCTTTTACTGGTTGATGTGTTTTCCAAATTCTAAAACATAAAAAAAGCAGATACAACCCAAAACACACATTAGGATGTTGTCACACATGTGAATGTGCTTCCTGGGAAAGATTATAGGAAAGAACTGCCCTCTCCCTTTTTTTTTAAACAAAACTCTGGTCTTATTTGATGAGCACAAATGACCAGAATGATTGACAATTGGAAGGACCAGTACTTGCGTTACTCACTACAAACGGGTTACTTGCTGTTTCTTCTTGTTTCCCCTTTGCAGAATGCTGCTGATGGTGACTCACATCCCCATAGAAATCATAATCAATGGTGAAAATTCAAGTCCAGAGCAAGTTGGCATCCTTCTGGATTCTGCAGTCTTCCTTTGGGAAAAGTGTCTCTTGTTTGGACTGACTTACGCACATCACTTGGAGAACCATAAGTGCCTGAACGAATTCTGGCAAAAATTCAGAATTTAAAAAAAACTGCCTTTTCTGGTCATTAGCATGTCCTTGTTGATATTGAGTGTTTGCCTTAACATTTTAAGTTAGTTTTAATTAAATATATGAGCTTTTAAGTAGTACTAAGCAAACATTTGAGTTTTCTAATATTGACGCTACTAAAACAAAAAAGTGAACTGAATATAAACATTAGTTCTTAAATTGGGAAACTTAAACACATTAACTGGCTATGACTCCATATAGTAATTTGTGTTTTGTTTTACTTTTTAAGTTTACACTACTTAATTCATTTTTTTGCCTCAGGGCAATAACTCAATCGGTTTGTGTCGAATCTGTTTCCTAATGTGAATTGAGTAGTCTGAACTTGTCCGGGTTTACAGATGGATGGAGCCAAATACAGGACCATTCTGGAAGAAAACCTGTTGGAGTCTGCAAAAGACCTGAGACTGGGACGGAGATTTATCTTCCAACAGGACAATGATCCAAAACATAAAGCCAAATCTACAATGGAATGGTTCACAAATAGACGTATCCAGGTGTTAGAATGGCCAAGTCAAAGTCCAGACCTGAATCCAATTGAGAATCTGTGGAAAGAGCTGAAGACTGTTGTTCACAAACGCTCTCCATCCAACCTCACTGAGCTCGAGCTGTTTTGCAAGGAAGAATGGGAAAGAATTCCAGTCTCTCGATGTGCAAAACTGACACATACCCCAAGCGACTTGCAGCTGTAATTGCAGCAAAAGGTGGCGCTACAAAGTATTAGCACAAGGGGGCCGAATAATATTGCACGCCCCACTTCAGTTTTTTTATGTTAAAGTTTAGATTTCATTCCACTTCACGATTGTGTCCCACTTGTTGATTCTTGACAAAATTTATTTTCATATCTTTATGTTTGAAGCCTGAAATGTGGCGAAAGGTTCAAGAGGGCCGAATACTTTCACAAGGCACTGTATATACCGAAATAAAAGTTGGTAAATCAGGCATAGAATGCCATTACTCACTACTCGCTACTTTACCACATCAAAACCACGTCTGTAATATGCAATGTACAAGTTTTACCAGCAGGGAGCAGTGCAACATCGACGTTAGATTACCAGTGAGGCTGTTTTCTCTCATCAATGCATTTATCTCAAACACATCAAAACACCACCTCCACTATCCTGGAGATTTGCTTTCCAAAAGGTGAAGTTGGATTCAGGTGTGGTTATAGGAGTATAGAAGTAGGGCAGGAGGACACAGGAGAGACTGGATATTTATTTATAGAGCCCTGGACAGTAATAGGCCACAGCTAGTGAACTTGATCGTTCCAACACTGCTGTCTAGTTATGAGTGTGTGCAAAGAGATGCAAATATGATGAATTATGTCTATTTCAGCTATAGGGTTGTCAAGATACCAAACAGCGTTGAAAAGGATACTAAATAAATAAAAACACAATTGTTCATTTTTGTATACTTAGAACCTTTACAAGAACCTTGTGACCCCAAAAAAAGTATTAGAGTTCAAAAAATTAGAAGCACTGCAAAAAAATGACAAATACAAGGTAATAAATACTTGAATTAAGGGTTTTTATCTTAATTTGAGAATATTTTAACAACAATAACATTTGCCAGTGGAACAAGCAGTTTAGTTTTATTTCTAGTGGAATTTATTTCTCATTCCAAAGAAAGACATTACTGGACTTTTCTTGTATCTTTTTAAAACAAGACATTTTGGCTTTTCCAACTGCAAATCTTTTTTTTAGACATTCAAAATGTGCTCAACACAAGGCAAAAACACCTGATTCAAGCATTCATTACCTTTTAATGTGGTAAAAATGTGGTTGTATTGGTTATAAAGAGCCTTTATAACCAATTACAGTGACATCAATATTTCTATAGATTTCTAGTGTCAAAATAAGAGTTTGAGATGTATTGTGACATCACTGGCGGGTGTTTTGTGGCACAGTCAGAAGACATCACTTTCAATATAAAATCACATCTTTATTTGCGTTGGGTCATTTTTACAGTTGTCAAACAGGGAACCAGTTGCTTCCTTAAACGAAATGGAAGCAGAGTTAATAAGCGTAAACAACATAATGAATATATAATGGGCTGGTGCTATGAGACTTGGGTGGCATCTCTGATTGCCACCCCGCCTGACCCAGAAATGGATTAAAGGGTAGAAAATGGATGGATCGAACATATAATGAAATCACTAATAATTAATATGTATTTTAATGATAATTATTAGGAATTTGTGAAGTTTGGAGAGTATGCATTTGGAGACTATAATCAATTCATCCCAATGAGAAAGTCTGAGGCACATATTTCTATAGCAGACTTTCACAGACCGTTAACTGCCCCTGTAAACTGTATACCTTATCATCCTAAACGAAAGATATGGCCCAGTGGTTTCCCTCCATTCTCTTCCCCCACACATAACTATAATCTCTCGATAACTGTAAGCGGTGAGCTCATGACAACAGTTAAGGAACACAATAGACTGTTGTCACTGCATGCCACATAATGTAAATGAGTTACTGTTACCTATGGTTACAAACGGCAACTTAGGGCAGTCAGAAATGTTGTCTGAAAAGAATACGGTTTGAGAGTTTTGTAGAGGTGGAAGTATTTTTACTGTACTTTACTACCTATTTATTTTGGACAATTTTTACTTTTACTTACTTTTCACACCAAGCCTCTGTGGTCTTTTCAGGAGAAAGTTTTTCCAAGCTCCATATGGACTAATACAGGTTTGAAGTGGTTAGCCCTGCTTCTAAGTGTAATTATTTTAGATTATTACACGTTCAGATCCTATTCTGTGCCAGTATGAAACACTTCAACAACGATATGATTTTCTAAACATTTTACTGGTACAACATATTTAATTAATTTACTTTGTCCTTCTTTACTTGAATAAAAAGTAAAACAATGATGTATATGGGACGATAACAATCTTTACCAGAGTTGAGTTTTATAGATATATATACACTTTTACTTAAGTAAAATAGATAAACTTTATTGATCCCCGTAGGAGAAATTCAGGTTTCCAATAGCAGCAGAAACGATACAAACAAAACAAACAGATCATAAAAATAGCTAACAATAGCAATAAAATGCAATAGCACTTTATGTCACAGTAGCAGAGGTGCAATAGGCACTTAATAAAAAAAAATATTTGAGAGAAAGAAGATATGCGTGTGTGTGTATGTGTGATATACATCATACATATTTGATGCATGATTGATGGGAACAGGGCCGTTTCAGGACCCACAAAAGAAACACCACAGCATGATCCACTTGGTTCGTGTAAACATTATAGTTTGGAAAACATGTATAAACATTGTAGTGGTATACAATTATATGAAAATGTATATTAAATGCAGTTTCAATATCAACATATTTGTCTCAATCTAAATTATATGATCCGAGAGTCTAGTATTTTTAAATTATTCACAAGAAAATGAACAATGTACAAAATTAAGATTACATTATGAGCTCCTATATTTGTCACACAGCAGAGAAATTTCAGGGTTGCATTACAAGTTACAGAACAGTAGAAATGAGGAGATAAGAAAACATGAAATCAGATCATGAGCTGACCCACAGTAATCAACATTTGTGCATATGAAAAGTGGCCCAGTGAGTGATGGTGGCTCTAAACAAAGGCTTGGTTCATTTTTGCTGTGGGTGGCCGGGTAAAAAGCCTGTGTGTGGACGTAATAAACAGTATATGTAGAGACAACAGCTGCTTTGACCTGATTGGGCACAAAGTTATACAAGATTGCATAACTCACTGAAGTCAATGCTCCTTACCAAATGACTGCATTTCACACAAGCCACTATGGGCGTACTTGGATAGTGGCTTATACAAAAGGGTACAATTTAGTTTTGTATATTTACGTTCATGATCATGGCAAAAGAAAGAAATATTAAAGGGAAGATTTCAGCCACATAAAACACCAAAATGAGTAATACAAAGAGAAAATGTTGGCGGTATAACTGGAATTACTTAAGAAAAAGTCTGAAGTTCAAGCGATTTCTAAACTAATATATTACAACAACAACAAAAACAATCAAAGTTTAATTGACTATGATCTCTCCACACATTGTGCATGGACATGATGACACTTGGTCACGCTTCTGCACTGTAGCACCGAAAGCGTTAAAGGCAGCAGAGGGGGAGGAGCCTGGTCTCGCCCCTTATCAGAGCATTTGCATATCAGGCGGGAAGGCCCTGGCTCTCTGTGTTGCTGCCATAGAGCGAGGCCATGACCACTCCCACCAAACACTGCACTGGCGGGAAAAAGAGCTGAGAATAGAACATAACAGCAACACACACATGCGCGCGCAGACACACACACACACATACACACACTCTTTGTCTGGTATTGACGACACACTGGAGAACTGCAAACACAAAAGTAAGTGGTTTTAAAGGGCAGTTACATACCCATTTCCTGTTAAAAAGCTGAACTTATGAGTAGACAAAGAATAGTGATCTATGCAGCATTTGTCACACTAGACTAGGGCTTAGAAAAGAAATGAAAGTTTAAAGCCAAGAGGCATACATTTATCCTTTAAGAAAACTTCAAGAGAACAAAGTTAAATAAATACAATGAACCGTTTTGTTTACAACGTGAAGTCTTGCCCTCGGAAAGTTCACTGGGTTGCTGAAAAAACAGGAAGGAATGTCATGCTCAGGATTGGGGAGGGTTAGTCACAAAAAAAAAGGAAAAAGGCAAGTTAGCGCCCCTTTATTACATAACTGGTCATGTATACAAGTGAGGCACAGCAGGTTGGGTAGGAGAGATACAAAAGGTGGACTTTCATTACAGGCCTTTCACATTAAATCACATCTCTGGGCCTTCCCTGAATTATTATTTTCCCAAATTATGTAGACAAAGTGCTGTAAGAAAACTGAGCTGAGCGATGAACTGGAGGAAACCTCTCCATATAGTCAAGCAGTCATAAATAAAGCATAAGGGAGAGCACCAGGATGCAAATATTGCCTGGAGGGGGGATCCAAGACGAATATCCCCAAATGATTTAGAAACTAGCAGAACATTTGCATGGAGGAATGGCAACGCAATCAAGTGTTGAAGAATGAACATGAAGCGGAAAACTAGAATGATGTCCTGAAGTGTCACACATGACCAGGCAGTGTTATGGTTCTCACATGGTTACGTAATAGAAAGGTAATTGTCTATGGGTTTCCAAGTAACTCTAGAACAGAAGAAAGGGAAGGTTGCAAAAGGTCAAGACAACTTCCTGGTGGAGGGTACACTTTTATGTTCAACTAAAATGTTTTTTTTTTTTTTGCCTGGAAAGTCCCACAGCTCGGCCTTAAAGTTTTGCATCTGCATTGGAGTTAGTTAAATCTACAGAGAAGAGAGCCAAATGAATGTAAGAATTCAGGCTTTTGGAGATTAAAACATGTATCTAGATTCTAGGTATACACTTTTCTCCGCATAGCTTACGGTTTCTTACTTGTGAGCAGAAGTGAGGCAGTGAAAATACTGAATGAGAGAGAAGTCAAAACAGCTGCACAGAACAGCCACAACACAAACGCCTCACTGTACACATGGCTAGGGGTAAGTTTGAGCAAGAACAAAAACACAATCCTACAGTGATGTCCATGTGAAGCAGTTCATAAATGCAGCTGTCCATGCAGCCTCATATAGTCTCAGTATTAAAATAATAAATAAAACCTTTCATCACAGTACTTTAGTTTGATTTAAATGCAGAGTGATGATGTAACTTTCTTCCAAATGTGTTAAAAAGTCAGGACTCAGAGAGCTCTCTCTTCTCTTTCTCAGGGGGTATGGTCTCAGGTCAGAGCGAGGCATAGGGGGAAAAAGCAGAAACCACCCATAAAAGTCCTGTTTTCAGTGATCAGAAATGGAAAAATGGGAGCATTATATTTTGGAGGTGATTCTGAAAATGTAAAAAAATATCTTAAGATATGGCACTGACTAACGAACAATCAAACGTGGTCGATAACCTCCTCTGGGAAGATACTGTACTTACATAAAGTTTTATCTCATAGTGTGGAGCATTCAAAAGCAAGCAGTAACCGCTCCATGGCAGCAAGGAGGCATTGGACTCCAACAGAGAAGTTACACAATGCACTCGTGTAAATTTTATAATTTGTGTGTGTGTGATGGGGGTTTAATATCCAACTAACAATGACGTAAGCAAAATGGGAAATTGACATGAAAATACACTTAAATATTTCTATTCCCTGATAGTTTGAATAGTTTGGAAACAATGTTGAGAGACCTTCACATTCTACATATTTCAGATTACGAGTGCCTGTGGTGTCTACAATGTGTGATTTGTGACCTTCCTCCAATCAGCAGACAGTTGTGTTGTTAGGAGAGCATTTGTGACACTGTTTTACTACAGCTGACCCTGCAGGGTTAGGCTCGGCGCATGCCAGCCAGTCTTCGTCTCGCCAGGTCCATATGGTAGAGAATGTTTAGTCGAATGGGATTACAGATTAGGATTAAGGAGACTTTGAATTAGCCTGACGCACAGTCACTGCCTGGATGACACACCACTACAGAAGATCTAAGAGGCTCCACCAAGTTCAACAACACACTTCAACAATCCGCTGGAATGGATTGATTGCCATTTAACTTATACAATTATTAGTTCACATGAAATACCTTAATACAATACATTATTCAAAGTACTCCAGATTAAGGAAAAATGGCAAAACAGATTTTATACTTACATTTTTATTTAATTAAAAGGAAAATTGTATTTACAACATATTTAAAAAAAACTTTGCATTTAACAGATATTTACCACATCCTAAAAGGGTGCATTTAAAGGCTATATTGTATGCTTTTAATTGGATAATGGAGGCAATAGAATCAGTTGCAGAGGGCAATGCAGCAGCAAAGTGGTCATTCATATATAGGCTGCAGCTTGTATTACATAAGTGAGCCTGCAGCGTCCCCATAGAGGGCCCCATCTATAGGACAATGTGTGCCCTGTGTAGCACCACACAGACTGCAGAGCGTCTACACAACTACACCAGTGTTTGTGTCCACACATTGTTGTATCAGTCATATTCCTCCTCAGATATTTGTTAAGATTATTTGAGTCAATTTCTAGAGCATTTGTACTGTCAGCACCGAGCATGTGTGTGTGTGTGTGGGAGTACAAAGACGGCCTCCGCTGGCTAGGCGTAAATCACTAATTAGCCTTGTGACCGCCACTCTGCCCTAGTTCTCTACTTCTGTGAGCGAGGGGACGTGCAGTTCAAGCTTATGTCATGCATTTGCTCAAGCCTTCTTCCTTTTATGAGAAATGATTCAGCAGTGCTTGAAAATGACAACCCAGACTTCTGGCACTCCAAAAAAAAAAAAGCCCCAAAAAAAACAGACAAACGTGTCCGCCGTGTAAAAACCGTTAAAGGCGTTTAAACAATGAGGAACAAAACGGTAGGGACAGTAGGAAAGAAAAACAAAAAAGCAGACACCAGTTGCACAGTGACCTTTGCTATCAGCATGACTCCCACAGTGCATGTAAGCCCCCCCCCATATGCGCCAGACTTGACCCACTTAGAATGAGAGGTAGGACAAATACGAGCGCGCAAGTATCTCTAATTATACTGCGGTGTAAGTGTTTTAATAATGTGGAGGAGGTCAAATAGCAGGTGCATATAATCGCCAACCTGTGATAAAAACCTTGATGGATCACTGTGTAACAATCGGCTGGTTAGTTAGTCGCAGCCGGGCAAGAGAGAAAGGCGATAACTGGGGAGTACCAAAGGGAGCGCCAGTAGCCCTTTGGAGAACCGCCAGCTATTGTGTAAGTGGTTTTACAGCGGCAGGCAGCACACCTTGGCGGGAAAGGTGCTCAACCGACTAACAGCAATGCAGTGTTGTGCCAACGTCTCACCTCCGCCTGATCCGACGCTTGCCAGAGACACGACGCATTATAATCAACAATTGAGCATTAAGACCTTCGACAGGCTTTGGTATTGTTTATTGAAATCCTCGCGCCTCTCAGGCAATCTTGTACTGTCATTTCTCAACTACTCCCTCAGAGGAAGGTACGGTTTATTGAATTTCTTGTCCGATAGTTGAATCAAAAGAGCTCACCAATGTTAAAAATCATCAAGAATTTGCAGTTTAGCTCTGTATTTTTCCAGAGACAGCTGCTAAATGATAAGCAAGTCAGAGGAAAGGGTGTAGGGTCGGAGAGTGTATAGGCCTACATCTTGTCTTGAGTGTGTGTTGTCTTGTATTATATTGTGTTACCGTTTCTCTAGATTGGCTTTCTAATCTTTGATGTTTAGTTCCAATTTGTCCTGTTTCTTTTGAATGGTGGGGGAAGGAATTTTAGAAGCACTTTTTTTGTTGTGTGAAATTTAGTTGTACAGGCTTTGAAAAAAACATCTTGATTGATTGTGATTACAGTCTTTACAAGCTTCTTTTGGCGCACTGTACGAAAGCAACATAGTTCGCAATAAAATGTACAAAATACATAAACAATGCCTGAAATGCCAAAAAAAGAAAAATGGCAGTGCTCAAGATTTAAAAAGTCCGTCTTAATGAAATGTTCTTTGAGCCTGCAATACAACCCTCAGTGGATCTGTGCAGCACTAATTGGCACAAATGCAGTTAACGCAGTAGATAATGTGCTTTAGGAGGTAACTGGTACTTGTGTGTGGGCTGCCCGGGTGTCTGGAGACGACTCCTGGAGGGACTCTGTGCAGCCGGGAGCAGGAGCAGAGTCCTGAGAGACTTCCTGGCTCCGTGATTGGTTATCGCCCTCATCTATCTTCCTCTTCTTCTTCACATGATAGTAATGCTTTTTTGACTTCAGGTGTGCTGCAAGACAGAACCAAAAATAAAACCCTTTATCTCACACTCCATTGCAGTTAGTTACATCGTAAAAATAGGTTTTACTATTTATATAGCACATTTTTACAGACCGAGGTGATCCAACGCACTTTACAATGTTCAGAGTTCAAAAATTGTTGCATTCTCTCCACACACGGTGATGATGGAAGAGAGATGTAAAACACACTGGCGCATCAAAGCCCCCAATCAACACCAACACCTTTATACTGATAGTTTCAAAATGTTTCTGAATGTCAGAAAGAACGAGCTCACCTGTCCACTCCAGATCTCCAATAATAACTTTATCGCAGAGATCGCAGGTATGCCGACTCCGCTTGTTTCTTAACTCTCCATCCACTCTCAGCGGTGAAGCGGCAGGTACCTCGCCCTATATGAGAAAGCATCTTGATTTTATGATAAAGTTGATGATGAAGATAATGAAGAGCACCCACTAATAACAACAAAGTGAACAATCAACAGTTCTGCATGCCTTTTAAAAATTAACAGAGGAGCTTGTAATTAAGCTTTATAGATAAAACATGTTCATAAGGTTTTTTCTTTAAAGTCAAAAGTATAGTCTGTTGTCCAGAGTGGGTTCATTCTGGAGGTGGTCTTACAAAGTACATTTTACAGACCCTTTAAGGAAGCCTATCCACAGATTTGAACACATAAGTGTAGTAGATTTTAGCGAGGATTATTGCACAAACACTGACAATAGCCATTTTCACCCTTCCTGAACCTTTTTCAGTTCCTTTTTTTGGATTCATTCACACACAATGGGAAGTAGGCAAGCGGGACATCCTTTGGAGACTTGTTTTAGCCATTGATGAACATACATTTTACATTGTTCTCACAAATATAATAATAAGACAGTATTTGATGATTCAGGTCCAGCAGTTGCAGCGCAGTGGTTCAGCAATTTATAGCAATAAAGCAAAACCTCTACCACAATAGCCAAAGCTACACTCAAAGTTAGAAAATAGACATCAGCTACCTCCATCACAATTAGATCAGTCTACTCAGTCTTCTTTGATCCAGTTACATGGCTTTGTGTGTAGTGCAGTTATGACACGAACCAAAACACTCTATACCTGTGCTTTTCTATCACCGCTTTCTGTGCTTGAAAAACATAAAATCTGCACTAAACTTCCACATTTCACAAACTTTACTGACAGCGCGTGGACTACAGGTACACCAATACTTAGAGACACAAACAATTGAAGCATATTATCCTTTTGTGGAATTGCGCTTCGTCATGAATAATAATAGTTAATAGTCAAATCCTAAGTTGGCCGAAATGAAAAAAATACAATAATGCATTTTAATTGTTATGAGAACTAGTTAACAAAACATTAAGACTTATGTCCATATAAATTCTCTTGAGTAGAATGTATCACTTATTGTAAACTTCTTAACTAAATTTCATACATACATGCAACACACGGCACATAGTTAATCCAGTTAGTGTCACGTTAAGCCATTTTTGCAGTGAGAATTATTGGGAGAATAATAGGACATTAATGGTGCTAGTATCTGTGAAATAACAGCATGATTTTGAAGGAAGAAAGTTGTGTGTCAAGAAGTTTGACTCTGGAACACTTTGAAACAGTTCTTAACCTGTATGTTTGACTAGGAAGAGGTTGAGTTTTACGACAAGTGGGAAACAACGACGAGTGGAAACAACTAAATCTATGGTGATGGAGCAGTCAGATGGTGAACAGGAAATAGGAGTGGCAGCGGGCCCCCACCTTACAGAGAGAGGCCAATATCTGCAGTGCAGGGGTCAGCACGGTCTCCTCCCACCGCGACACATCACTCACGTCCAGTCCGTATACTGGGGGTACGCCATCACCTGGACCTATGCGCAAACAGAGCACATGGGATATCACATTTCCCCATTTGAACAGATTCTTAAGAGCATTTTATTCAACATGAGGGCTGGCACATGAAACTACTGTAGTTTCAAAACACCCTGAAATAACATATACACAGATTTAAGTATTTCATTAAAAGCTAATAATGAAAAATTCATATCCTGGATTGTTCATTATTAGCATTATGTGTAATATCAAGCTAATAATTGCACAAAGCACAAAGTAGAAATGTAACAGAGGGGTGATGTACTGGAGCCGCGCCCCACAGCCTCGTCAACCTGCTGACTCACACTGGCTCGATAATGTCTCCCTCTCCTCCCCCCGCCTCTCTGTGGACATCATTCTTGCTGTCGTTCACCTCCCCGAACGCTCCCACCTCACCCAGTGTATTTTGCCCAGGTCAGCAGTCTACTGGTCAGGCCTAAGCGCAGCCCCCTCTGTCTGCATGTCCAAATTACTGTCCCACATTGCCCAGCAGCAAAGCCACACCCATAGGAAATAAGCAATAGGAGGAAGAAATCAGGCTCTAGTTATGTTAACACAGCTTGTTGACTCTTTCGAGGAATCTTATCAGTGCAGTGACTTAAAACCATAGCTGAATGAAGCCCAACAGGGAAGTGCTCATGGACGAAGTTTTGCTCCAACTCATTCAAGCTCCTATTGACTTCCATGTAAAAGTAGACTCATCTTCCTCTGTAACCGTTTTATTCACACTCACAATTCTGGGTAGACGAAAATCAGTGATTTAGCGCAGTCTTTGTAAATTCACGACCCTTAAGGTTTGATCAATCAAATGCCTTAATTGGCTGGGTAAAGCTCGCCTTAGCAACCATCTTAGCAACATGTCTTCCCCGTTACGGCACAAAGTTAACGTCGTCGCTAAAAGGCCCATATAAGGAAATTGGCTCCAGCTAGCTCATGTTCAAATCGGCTTCTTCAATATTTGGCAAACACTATAGATGTCACCACTGAGTGAGAATAATATCAGTCCGCGCTTAAAACCTCCAGGTTGATAGAAGCCACATATTTACAGCTGGAAGAATTGAAAGGGATTTTTAGCCAGAAGAGCATTTTTTTTAATATTAATTATTCAGTGCAGTCCAAGCATAATCAGGATAAAGGACTTGAGGCCAAAACAGTTATGCGGTGGCTGGGCTATGGCGTCTGTTGGAACGCACTCTTAAATGCACATTACAAAAGAAAAGGCATCAAACACATTACACATTTTAAACTATTCAATATATTCAACATTGACCGACTTACTATCTGCGAGTGCTGACCTGTGCCTGACTTCTCGGCTAACACATTGCTTGCATGATCATAAAGGCCTTTGATCGTCGGCGTTAATCAAAGCCTCGGGTTACACTGGTGTAGTTACCAATTCCATTTAACACACCACAGGGGAAAACCTATTATGTGTTGCACAACGGCAGGCAGGTGGCTGGCATACCTTTAGCGGACAAACGGTTAACCTTTATGAGGCGTTTTAATTCACTTTGAGAGCCATCCCTTTGTGCGCCTATCTTCCCTTTTTGTCACCAACTACTCCAGAAGCAACAGCCAAACTGCGGCGGGTGACAGTAGACTACCAGATGTTGGATGGGGAAGTTATCCTTGAGTGAAATCCAACACTCGTAATCTAGTAGAATGAATGTGGGCAGACAAAAAGATACTATCGAGACAATGTGCTGGGAGGGCAGCTCAAACACGCGCCCATAGTAAAAGCGTATACATTTCAGGCGCAGTGGGACGATCGTTTTGCCAGGAAGAAAAGCCCCCATATCGGCCAACAGCTGCCTTGTCCTTGTCGGGTGTGTGCGGTGAAACTGCAGTCCACCTGTTGCAACAAGCGGTGTTCTTGTCATCTGTAAACTCCTTGTGTTTGCAGAGTTGGTGTGTAGACGTACGTGCACGTTTTCCTATAAAAATCAACAACCCCCACGTCGAGCCCCACCCCAGCTGTGCGGATTTGGCTGTCATCCACACTGGTTGGCCACAACAGCTGCTGCTATTGAAGGTCTGGGCCTTTTAAGTCTATAGCTACTCAGTCACTTATTGTGTGCTCGTAACCTTTTTTTACTAAATGGCTTCACGTTCTTAGATAAAAGAAATGATGAATGTTTCAGAAGATTTACAATGGGTTATATTCAATGTTTTTCAGGTTCAAAACAATCTAGGAGTAAAGAATTGCTTAAAGATCCAGGTGTATACTGTAATACTGAGTTCTCCATCAATATTTTAGTGGAAAGTCTTTATGCACAGTTGATTTTCAAGTCTGTTTATGTAACCGGTTTGAAGTTAATGTTGTTTCTTCGTCATTTTGGCCAAAAACGGAAGAGCACCAAAAGTGAAAACAATTCTTGGTGGTAGCCGAGAAGAGATATAACTAGTGTGTGAATAACATTATCTACATTTATCATAGATTTCCATAATCTTCTCAGGTGGCTATTCTCTGAACTTTTGGATTTAACCAAAAAGGAACGATGGATTGGCACAGAGGTTTAGAATAAATACAAAAGATACTTTTCCTGAAAAGATGTGCTCTAAAATGATGTTCAACATGCCGTAGCAGCCATATTGAACTCTTACCATCAAAGATTATAGATAATAAACTCATTTTGTGGAGGTAAAATGCATGTTTGAGACACGCACATCTTAAGTAATAAATGACTTGTGCAACAACTGAGTAAAATCATACAAGAAAAAATATATATAACAGACAAAAATTGAAGTGCCAAGACTTTAAGATACACAAGACTTTAACTTAATTAATTCAAGAGGAAAAAGGCAAACCGCAAACAAAAAAATACATTTCAGAGACGTTTCCCTCCAAAACAATTACACCCCCTCATGTATTATGAGAAGGAGCAGACAGGCCCTCTCCAGGACTTTGTTTTTAGCACAGAGTGGGTGTTTTTGGTCGGTTTGAAAGCTCCTACATAAGGGTCAAGGGTATATGCTCGTCTCGCACCTGTCGGCTTTGCTATATTAAGTTACCTCACTCTCCATCCGCCCCGCAAGCTGCTCCCGTCTGCTGTCTACTGGTCACTTCTGCCTAAACAATAGCCACGTCTCATTACTTAACACTCACACTACACCCGTGTATCCTGGTTACAAGTGGAGAGAGTGCCAGCAATCCTTTAAACAAGGTACGATTAGTGCAGTGTATAGTGAGTCTCAAAAACAGTTCAGAAAATAGTTGATGAAGAATATCCGTTAAAAAAAACGTAAATTGAAGTTATTTAAACTTCAATAATCAATGTAGTTTTCATCAAGTTATTAGATTTCTTAATTAATACATGTAAAGAAAAAGCCACAATTTAACTACAATACTATAAACACAATTTATCTTATAAGATTGGTAATAAAATAAAACAAAGATAACAGAACATACCATTAAGAAAAGGAGAATAAACTGAACACAATAATGAGAAAACCCTTTTGAAAATGTATCAAAATCCTAAGCAAAGTCTGTTCATTGTGAGTATATTCGGAATATAACTGAAACATCTGATCTCGTCTGGGTCGTATATAAAGCATAAATAGTAAGACTCAAACCTGTACAAATATTCTGTATTTGATTAAATCTTCTTAAAATCCACAGACAGCAGACACAATGAAGCAGACATAAAAGGAAAGACAAATTGGTTCATTTAATTTGAGCTATTTGACCCCTGACTTCTAAATCTTTTTGGCAACCACTCTAGAAGAGGAGATTTCAGTCAGTCAAAATTACAAAATAATTCACTAAACAGTAAAAATTATTTGACACATTCAAGCAATGAGCAATGCTGGATGCTCAAATAAAAAACATGATTTTCAACTAAATACAAGAGACAGAATTATAGTTAATTTAATGAAAAAAAAAAAAAAAAAAAAAAAAAAAGAGTCCATGCGTTATCATATAATTCCAATAGTCAAGAAACATGATTCACATGGAAAAGTTATTTACATAAATGTGCAAATATACATTCTTGCACTAAAACATAATTGAATTTACTTGCAGAGGCAACAGTCAGCATCAGCAACAGAAGCTCAGGGCACCTCAACTGGCTCCATAGAGGAGCTGTGGCTCTACTCTGAGCTCCTAGCACTATCTGTAAGGGAGCTACACCCACAACTCATTTGTAATGCCTGCGATCTTGTCTCTTTGGTCATTACGCAACGTTCATGACCATATGTGAGCGGGAACGTAGATTGCCCAATAAAGTAAAGGCTCCCCCTTCACCACACAAGTCCAATACAGAAACAGCATCACCGCAGATACTGACACTTCTCCACTTGAGGAAGGACCTCTTCAGTCAAATATTCTGTTTAAAATATTTGTTTGTATCATGTGGACAATACCTTTAGCAGTCTGATACTTCAGGACATTTACTTTGTGTGCCCTTTAAGAGGTCTCCATACATATACATTGAGGGGCTATAATCACTTTCTGCCCTTGCTAACCTACTTTACTTTCCCCAGCCGACTGTGTCATGTCTAATTCATGCCTTGCCTTTGACCCACTAGTCTATACAGCCGACTGCAGCCCCTGTTGACCCTGCTGCACAGCGTTTGTGTGGTCAGGGGCAAATTCCCGTCAGCTCTGTAATGCTTAAAGAGATTAGCCCGTTCAGCTGAGGCCTCCTGGAATGCCTGTGTGTGGAGGAGTCCGACACAAGAAAGGAAAAAAAAGCAAGTCGACAGTCACAGAAAGACGGGAAGACGAACAGTTAAGGCCAGTAAGGGGAGAGCATCGCTACACAATCTCTACAGCCAGGATCAGAATACACATGACTGAGCGCACACTTTCCACCATTCACAACAATGGGATCACAAGATGTTGCTGCCGTCATACAAGCAACGGCCATCAAATCCATTATTGTCATTTTTTCTTTTACTCCATTGCACCTCAAAGTCATTTAACCAAAAGACTTCAGATATCACAAACTATAAAAGGAGCTGTGCAAATGTGGGTATTGTGTGATTACATTGTTTTACT